TGATGTAAATTAAATGATGAAAAAATATTACAAAATGGGCTTGCCAGAAGATTTAGTAATAGTAATACTACGCCAATTGGTAAATGGGTTACATGATTTGCATAAGAATAAGATTATACATAGAGACATTAAATTGGAAAATATAGGAGTGAAATTGTCTATTGAAGATGAAGATAAATTGATTAACTAAAATGATCAAAGTGTGTTTAAAAATGCATCATATAAAATTCTTGATTTTGGTTTTGCTAAATAGTTATTAACTGATGATCTAACTAATACATATGCTGGAACTGAATTACATATGGGTATTTAATACTTTAAAATTAAGCTCCTGAAATTATATTAATGGAACCATATTCAATTAGTGCTGATATATTTAGTTTGGGAATATGTATATTTTAATTAATTACTGGAAAAGTACCATTTAATTAATAAACAGGTGCTTTAGATAAAATCAAAAATGAGATTGCAGAATTTCATTTGATTCAAAATGAAACACTAAGATAAATGGTTCAAAAAATGTTAAAATATGATCCTAAAGAAAGGCTTACATGGACAGAATTGTATCAATATTTATTTTTTTAAAATAAAAAAGGTTAGGTTTAATCTATTTTGGATTTATAATTATAAAATAATTTAGAAATGTATACCTCATATAAATATGATAAAATAGAGAAAAATGAATAAGACTTATTAAATTAGAGTGGATAAATAAATTAAAAATTCTTTCTATCTGAATCAAATGATCAATTCAAGGCTTCATACAAATGTGATAAAATAATGAATAAATAATAAGTAGCAAAAATTAAGTTTTGGAATATATTAAGAAATTCTTGCATCCTATTGAGCAAACTTACAAACAATTTAATTCTACTCTTGAATTCAATTGATTATTTAGCTAATGAACTCTATTATTATAGTTTTCATTCTGAATTTAATAGTTATATCAATTATCTTTGTAATTTGAATGAATAAATCTATAATTATATGAAACAGGATATGAATAATCTTATATCTGAATATTGTACTTTTTAGGATTATATAATTTTAAGGAATAGTTTAGAATAAGATGAAGAATTAAAAAATATTTAAAATAATAGGCAAACATAAAATACTTTTTTTAGTCATATCATTCTTTTTGCAAGATAGTAATTAAGACTTTTACAAAAATTGGACTTGCAATAATTTTAGTTTGGCACTCAAGACTTTTAGAAATAAACTGATTAAAATAACATATTAATTTTCAAATAAACACTATAAATCATGTATGATTCTAACTTTAAACTTGTAGAAGCAAACTCAAAACAATTAAAACTAATACAGTGTTAAATATATAGGATTTTAATTGATTTAGCAAGAGTTCGAGCTATGTTAAGTGGAAATTGGAATGGAGGAGATGATAAAATAAATGAAATACGTCTTGGAAACTTTGAAAGTTAACCTGATTAGCTTTCAGAATTTTTGACAGAAATACTAGATATATACAAATTGAAATATTATGAATGATATTATATAATTAAATGAGTAATATTCATTATCCTATTTGTATATTAATAATATTATTAAATAATAATGGTATCTATAAATAATGAATTTATTTAAATAATTTAATTACTTAAGAGATTTTGAGATTATAGGAAATCAATTCATTTTGAAAATTTATTTGTCCATAAGAATATTTAGAATATTGCAAAAATATTTTCACAAAATTAATTAATATATAACAATTGGAGATAAATTTATATTATCTAGATAAAATAATAATCTAAACAAATAATTAAATAGATTAGACGAAGAAATTGAATAACTCTTAAATTTTAATTAAAAATAAGATATTCATTAGTTATAAATTTTTATTGTAGCAAACCTATGATTAATTCAAGGGATTTTTTAATTTATAATTAATTGAAGAATATGACTCTAAAAAATAGCTATTAATAAATATATAATTATATTTTAATTCATTTTTTTAAATAATATTAATATCATTGTAAATTATTGATAACTTATAGTTATTAGTAATTTTTAAGATTTAATTTTAGAAATAGAAATGAAATATCTAATAGTTTGAAATAAATAAATAAATATAAAATAACATTAATCTCTAAATAGTATATATAATTTTCATTATTAAATAAAATTTGAGATCTTTAAATGAGCAATGCATTTAAATAAGCTGGAAATACACTTTCAAAAGCTAATGATTTAGGATAGACAGGATAGAGTTTTGCAGGCTCTTAAAATCCAGCATCCTTAAAAGGAAAATTAATGAGTTTAGAAGTAATGAAACTGATACCATGTTTTATAATAGGAAACAATAAAAGGCATTTAAGACGAAATGAATTTCCATAAGAAAGAAGTTTAGATATTAAAATCAGAGAAGGACACTTTAGAATCAGTATTAAGCATGAAAACTTAAGATGTGAAAAAAACATTAACTAATGAATTAATGAGAATAGAGGAAGAAATGAAACGGTATTGAATTTTTATTATGTAGACATTTTGCCCATCAAAAAGCAGAGAATTCTAGATTACAATAATAAATTACTGCTCTAAAAGGAGAAAAAACTGCTCTTCAATAATAATTACTTGGACTTCAAAGAAGAATTGCAGAACTTGAACTCTAAGTAGGATAAGAGTAGGCATGATTATTTATGATTATTATCATCGTTATTATTAGATTTATTATTTTTTATTTATTGAATAATAAATATGTAAGAAATAATTAGTAATTAGAATATTAAAAATATTTATAGATGCTGATATCATATTATAATCAATATCTGAAATTCTTATCAATTTGAATACAAGCATCTTCTAATAGTTTTAATAATGCTTCTGTTGTACTTTCTCTTTCTCTTCTTTCAAAATTGATGTCTTATTATAATTTACCATGAACATCTTCTATCATTCTAAATATTTTGCCTTAAGTTTCTTCTCTAACTTTTTTTTCTATTAATAATTAATCTGAAAACTTATTAATCTCTTAATCTATTTATTCACTTAAACCCTCTGATGATTCTTCTCTAACAATATAAAAAACATCTATACCTTGATCTTCTTTCTTAATCTAATTAATTTTTAACCAATTAAATTTATTAAAGTACTTCAGCAATCTTTGCTTAACTTCTATCTTCATATTAATGATTATTTCTTGTTATTGTCAATGTAATCTAAGTAAATCTTTCATCAATCTATTTTTATAATTTAATCTCTCCCTATCCTCTAATATTCCTCTCTTATTCAAAAGACAAACCTACATTGTCTGAAAGAGTTCTAAAATCTTTCTCTTTTTTATCATCAAAAACCTAATTAAATATTATCATACTTCTCTCTCTGACTTTTAGTTATGGGAATAATCTTATAATTTTAGAACTTAATCTTTCAAAACCTTGAATCTCTATTCATCTTTTGGTTTCTCAGATTATAGAACATCTTCAATTATTTTTATTCTCTCCTCTAAAACTTCTCTCTTCTCCAATTTATCCTTATCTATTCCATTCTAAATATGATTCCATTTATCAGATAAAAGTTTTATTCTTTATCTAGATGGTGAATCAAGATCTTAACTCAAATAATTTACTGTTGATCTTTATGGACTGGATAATTATGATCTCTGAAGCTTTGATGTTTATAACTTTGATGTTGATAACTTCGATGTTGACAATAACATTCAATATTATTTTTTTAATAAATTTATTTCTGTATATTATTTACTAAATATCTAAAATCAAAAATATTATATTCTTCCTTTTCTCCTAATATATATCTTTTTATACACATCTATTCATAATACAATTTAACTCATCTATTCACATTTTACTATCTCTAATACCTTTTAATTCATCTTAAATTTAATACACTTTATAATATTAGATTTTCATAAAAATTATTAAATACAAATTATAGCTTCAATTTTATATTATTAATAATTTCTCACTAAACTATTATGACTACGATTAATAAATCTAATTATTATTAAGATACTTTAACTAATAATCAAAATTTACATTAAAACAAATTGAATTTTCAAAAATTATAACACTTCTTCTTTTTAATATTTATTACTCTTTCTATATAGTAGCTATTAATTTAATGAGTTCACTAAATTTATAAAAGTATCTAAAACAATAAATTTTAATTAGGCTTAAAATAAGTATGTTTTTAGATTTAACCGATCTCCTTTTTTTATGAAAATTAGAGATTTCATATATATAAGAGGTGTAATTTATAGATTTGTTATCCTAATTAAGATAAAGAACTAACAGTTTTATTATCAAATTAGTTTATTTATTGTAAAAATTAATTAGAATTACTTCCAAATTTATTTTTATTTACTCATAAGGATATAAAGAAGTCTATTTTATGAAATTATGATTATAATATATATATTTAGTTATTCAAAAACCAATTAAATTACAATAAAGTCATGGTTATATTGTAGATTTATTAGATTAAAAATTCTCTCAATAAAATATATAATTTCGAAAATAAGCAATATATCAAAAAAACTTAAAAGGAATAAAATTCTATCAGAATTTATTAGAATGGATTTATTTAAATTTTAGATGACTTTTTTTGNCATTTATCAGATAAAAGTTTTATTCTTTATCTAGATGGTGAATCAAGATCTTAACTCAAATAATTTACTGTTGATCTTTATGGACTGGATAATTATGATCTCTGAAGCTTTGATGTTTATAACTTTGATGTTGATAACTTCGATGTTGACAATAACATTCAATATTATTTTTTTAATAAATTTATTTCTGTATATTATTTACTAAATATCTAAAATCAAAAATATTATATTCTTCCTTTTCTCCTAATATATATCTTTTTATACACATCTATTCATAATACAATTTAACTCATCTATTCACATTTTACTATCTCTAATACCTTTTAATTCATCTTAAATTTAATACACTTTATAATATTAGATTTTCATAAAAATTATTAAATACAAATTATAGCTTCAATTTTATATTATTAATAATTTCTCACTAAACTATTATGACTACGATTAATAAATCTAATTATTATTAAGATACTTTAACTAATAATCAAAATTTACATTAAAACAAATTGAATTTTCAAAAATTATAACACTTCTTCTTTTTAATATTTATTACTCTTTCTATATAGTAGCTATTAATTTAATGAGTTCACTAAATTTATAAAAGTATCTAAAACAATAAATTTTAATTAGGCTTAAAATAAGTATGTTTTTAGATTTAACCGATCTCCTTTTTTTATGAAAATTAGAGATTTCATATATATAAGAGGTGTAATTTATAGATTTGTTATCCTAATTAAGATAAAGAACTAACAGTTTTATTATCAAATTAGTTTATTTATTGTAAAAATTAATTAGAATTACTTCCAAATTTATTTTTATTTACTCATAAGGATATAAAGAAGTCTATTTTATGAAATTATGATTATAATATATATATTTAGTTATTCAAAAACCAATTAAATTACAATAAAGTCATGGTTATATTGTAGATTTATTAGATTAAAAATTCTCTCAATAAAATATATAATTTCGAAAATAAGCAATATATCAAAAAAACTTAAAAGGAATAAAATTCTATCAGAATTTATTAGAATGGATTTATTTAAATTTTAGATGACTTTTTTTGTATCAACTTTTAATAAAACTTGAATGCTTATATAATTATAAAAAAATTAATACAAAAAAAAGAACAAGCAATTAATTTATAGGATTGCTGATAAAAAATACTTATTATTGAAGATTATTTATAATTAACAATAAATTAATTTATAATATTTATAATTATAAATTAAATAATACAACTAATATCTGATTATTTTTGTAATAAAGCATTTCTATAAATTCAAATGTATAATTAATCATTATTTTATAATGTTCCTTAAACAACTTTTGATACAGTCTCTTGCAAATGGAATATAACTTGCTACGTACCATGTATATGAACAAAACTCAACTAATAAAAAGATCACAACTAAGAGTTTTGATTTAAATAAATAAACTGAAAGAAAGATCATTACCAACGAAGAAAAAAAGATAATAGATGTTATTTTTCTTTCTTTATCAACCATATTTTAAAATTGTTTTCTAAATCCTATTAAAAAGGCTGTACTATTAAGATCTGATAATGAAGGATTACCTAAATAATGCCAAAATATTTCCTAGACTATAAGTAAGTGCAAAAATGTTGGGAGCACCAGCAGCAGCTTTTAAAAAGGATCCAAAGCTTAATATCTAGATGAAGTATCCTTATGTAAATTTATATATAGATTACCTAAAAACGAACAGAATGCAAATCCCATTAATCTTTCTTTAAATGAGAGTGAAGGGAAGAGACTTTCATTTTCATTTTTTGGTTTAATAGGTCCACTAATATCAAAAATTTGCATCATTTTAATTTATATAAATAATAATAAAATTCTTAATAAAAATAGGAGGCTGTTTATATTAAAAATCAATTTCCATACTACAAAAATTGAAAGCTCATTATTAAAATTGACTAAAATAAAGAAAGAGTCAATTATTTCAATTCAGAAAAGAAGATAAATAATTCTTAAACAAGTGCATTTTATTTTTAAAATAAAAATGCAATTTGTTATATGAAAATCAAAGAAAGTTTGATTAGACTAAAAAAAAAGAGAATATTTAATAAAGATGATAAATTATAAATAATTTATTAAATTCTTAATATTTTAGATTATGTCTTTTTTAAGGAAAAAAATTCAAAGTTCTTAGTTTCTCATATTCAAAAACATTACATGACTAAGAATAATAATACATTTAAATGAATTAATTTTAGATACCTAACATAAATTTTTGGAAAATACATTTCCTAAATTAAAGATATTTATAACATTTAAATTAATTAATATTACATTGATGAATTGAACAGCTTAGTCATAAAACCAACTTAGTTGATTTATTAGATAATCTACTGTTTCGACTTTATAAATTAATAAGGCAAGCGTTTATGATATGTTCCTGATAACTTAATGAATTTTATGATAATTTAAAAATATCTTTACATATTTTGTTAATCATATCTATATTTAAATTTATCTCTAAAATTATGATAAATAAATATATTATTATAAAATAACTTTAAGCCTTAAATAATTTATATTATTTCCATCATAAATAAATTTAATTTTTATTTTTGCTATTAACGCAACAAATATTTTAAATTGTAATTATAAAAATGTTAAAATAATTAATAAAATTAAATGTAAAAAAATAGATTAAATTTGATTGCTAATTCATTGATACTTTTTTTTAAGTTCTTCATATTTAATCCACTTACAATAGTTTTCTAAGCTTCTCTTAAGTCTTTAAATGATAATTCCATTTCATTCTGTTCCTCTTCTTTGTTTAACAAGTTCATCAAATAATTCAGGATACATTTAAGGTAATATTTCAGTTTTTGATACTTCTTTTATAAGCTACTTCTATTCCTCCTACATAATTCATCTATTTTTGATGAAATTATTCAAGCTATATTTTTATATAATTAATTTTAAATACTAATTATTTTTATAAATTTGTTTATGGATAGAATTAAATATAAAAACTTTAAATGATTATATTATTTAATATATACTAAAATCATCATTTGATATGATTAAATTAATATTCTTTAATTTCTCAATTCTTTTAATAAAACTTCCCCAATTTTTGAGGAATTCCTTAACAATTAAATACAAGGAGAATCTTAATTATCTATTTTTCAGTAAATCTTAGAGAACTAATTAAACTAGAATCTTTCTCAAAAATATAAGATAATTGTAATCTTACTTCTTTCTACTTTCAACTCCTTTGAAATTTTTATAATCACCTAGAATAAAACGATTTATATTTATCTATAATTGATATATTCAATCTTGTAAGTTCATATTAAGTTTTTCATTGAGAATATATGTACAAGATAGTTGCAATTCTTTCAATTTAGATTTAAATGATATATAATCTTGTAATAAATTATTTTATGACAACTATTAGTAATTTCTACATTTTAGATTATATATCCAATTCTAAAATTTATATTGAGTAAATGAAATACTATAATCTTTAAATTAACAGTTCCTCTTCTACGGTACTATTTATAATTTGTTTTTCTTTGACAAGAATCAATGCCTTTAAGAATGGACATGTATCAAGTTTTGAATCGTAATTATGGAACTAATAGATGTAGTAAATAACATTACAATAGATAAGGTGATTTCTTTACATATAGATAAATTAGAAAAATAATTATATTTAGAATTTTGATCATAATATTTAAAGTCAGTGGGATTTGCTTTTATACAATTAACAATGAAAGTTTCTTAGAGTTATAAATTCAATTAATAATTATGATTAGTAATTATCTAAATAGATATATCCATTTGCTAAAATATTAAAATGATCCATGACATTTCTTGAAACTTAAATTATATACTATTAGTATATTTAATATGTTTTGTTGTTAGAAAAAAATTGAATTATTATCATATTATCATTTCTTAAATAAATTAATAGCTCAAAATTATCAGAATTATTTCCATTTATTTTTCTCATAACATGACCTTATAATTTGACCATCTTTCATTAGAGACATAATTTTATTGGAGTAATATAGTGGTTATGAAAGAAAGTGTGCTGGTTATGGAATTGAATGTTAAAGTTAATAATACAATCTGGGTTAAAATTCTAAATATATTGAAATAATAGGATACTTATTTAATCTTAATCGAATTCTTCTTCTTCTTCAATTTAAATCATGAATCCTTGATTAACAGTTTGAAATGATTATTTTGAAAGTATTTATCCACCAAAAATATATATCAAATTAGAATTTAAGATTTGTATTGAAGTAGATAAAATAGTATGTAAAGGATATAATGTATGATTAGTAGTATTTTCAACTCTTTCCCAGCAATCTTATTCAATAAAATATAATTCTAATAATCCTGAACATTATTTTTTCAAATCTTCACCTTCAGTATTAGCAATCAATCCACCAAATTTAACAATTAATTTATTATTATAAGTACATGAAGAATGTAATGTTGATAATTCAGTTAAATGGCTAATATTATGAATATATAAATATATACTTAATAAGAGTGATTTAATTTGTATTTATATTGTATTTTTCACATTTAGCCAAACAACCTTCTTTATAGTTTTATCCTCCAATAATGAATATATCTTTATCCATTGTACAAGATAAAGAAAAGTTCTTCCTTAAAGTATACATTCTAGTTTTTTTTAAGAAAGTTAATTAAGGATGGTCATATTGATAAATAGTTTTATTCTCATCTTCATCTAAACTATTATCATATCCTGAGAAATAATAAATAAGACCATCGGATGCTAAAATAGATCTACTACCTTAGGTTATAAGAAAATTAATTTCAAGTTCAACTTTAGTGATTTATGGATTTTATTATTTTAAATCTAAATAATATAAGAATTTAGTTCCAGGTTCAAAATAATGTAACCATGATCGATAGAATGAATATTCTTATACACCTTATATTGTAGTTCTCATTTCCTCTTATTTTTCAGGAGCATAACTTAAGAATTTCTAGAAATTTTTAATTGACTTTGATTTAGTTTATTATGCCTAAATAGTCATTTAATTTAGACTTTCAATTTATGTAAATAACTTATTTTTCTCATAAATAACCAATTATTCTAATTCTTTTTGTATAACCCCTATAAAATGTAATGCAACATCATCATCTATTCTTCCATAAAACTTTTAATTCGCTCTTTAATAAATAAGTGATTCCAATCTATTCTTCTAATATTACACTTAATAATCTAAATCTGTTGACATTACTTTCTTTTATGTATCAATAGAATTAATATCATTTTAAAATTGTCTTACCTGAGCCAATTAACCTTAAATTTAATCATATAGAGCATGAATACTCTATTTCACTTTATATTCAAATTTATCTCTTAGCCCTTAAATATATTTGTCAAACAATTTATGAATCTATTATCTTATAGATTCAATCTCCAAGATAATCTCATCAATATTACTATTAACTGATGTTATTAATGCATTTGCTGCTCTATTCTCTGCTAATTCTAATTCCTCTTTCACTGTATTCAAATTCCGCTCCACTTATTATTTACATTCTTATATTGTTATTGTAAATTGCTTATTCTAATATATCTAATTCTTCTTATGTCTACTCTCATGATTCACTATACAATCACTACACAATCTTTTATATTTAAAACAATCTGGATGTATGCAACTTTATTATACAATATTTTATATACATATGGCTAAATTCTTTCTAATGTAACTTACATTTCTCCTCCATTTCTCACAATATTCAACTATTACAAATATATTATTAAATATAAATAACAATATTATTCAATCATTTATTAATTTATAATATAAAACAATCTTTTATTTACAAAAACTCTACAATAACTTATTTTCCAATCCCAACTATTTTATAAACATTCTAATCATCTACTAAATTATAAAATGTATTTATTCTTCTTTATCCTTTTTATCAAATATTTCTATAACTCATCACTATTATGTATATATTAAATATTCCTTTTACAAATACTCAACTAACAAAATATTATTTCATATATTTATTTTTTAATATCCAATACCTCTTTTATCTTTCTCTTCTCCATAAATGTTGCTAAATTAAACCAATATTGATATTAATTCAACAACTCTTTAATTACAATCTTCTATTTTTATTTCAATTATCTTTACTCTTAACTCATTTAATTTTTATCTTTCTATTTTTTTCTTGTTGTTATCGCTGATTTAATAAATAATCAAGTAGAGAATCTGATATTTATTTCAAGTGAAATTACTTTTGATATTCATCTTTTGTTTCCTTTTCTATTATTTTTTAATTTCAACTAAATTTAAAACATTGTATTAGATACATCTATTTAAAAAGATGAATACTCTTAAATATTTTTTGAATATGATAATTTAAAATAAAAATTGTAATTTAATTTCAAAATAAAACAAATTTAAATAACATGGTTGTTATCCGAAATTTTTATTTTAATTAATCCTTATCCTCTATTGAATCTATTTAGTAAAAAAATAAATCTTTTTGTATATTTTATTAATTTTATATTAAATAATTTTTTTTAATCCTGTAAAAATGGATTCAATGCTCTGAGGTATAAATCTTATTTAGATTTTCTTATAAAGTAACCTTTTCCTAATCCTCTTATAGATCTTAGATTTATTTTTCTAAACTTTTTTTTTCTCTTAATTTTTATGAGTACTATTCATTGCTTTCTAGCTACACTTTCTTACTATTGATTTGACTTTTAAGACTTGATATTTCATTAGCTAATTCTTACTTCATTTCAATCTATAATTCTAAATTTATTACTTCACCTTTTAATTTCAAAAATTAAGTATTTAAATCTTCCTTATTTAGTTCTTAAAATTTAATTCTTTTGTCTTCATACTCTTTTTCTAATTTTATTTTTTTTTGATGCATAAATTTTGCAGATTCTATTTCTTTTTCTAAACTCAAAATCTTCTCTTAACAGTCTCTACATTCATTTTGTAATTTATCATAATTAAACTCCTTAAGTTTTCTTTCTAAAGCTTAACATTCTTTTACATCTTTTTACATTTATTTGGCTTGTATAATTTTTTCATTGCATTACTTTATTTAAGTTTTGATATTTGAAGAATTTTAAATTTGATCTTAGTATTCTTTTAATTTTGCTTAAACCCTTTTTAGCTCTTAAATTTATTCATCTTCATAATTATAACTCTATTCTATTTCTTTTATTTTATTTTTAAAAACTTTCAATAAATTAGAAATCTCCGTAGGCAATTTCTTTTAAATTTATGAAAAAGGATTCACCTCTTAATTGTTTAATTTGTATAAAAGCCTTTTCACTGTTTGTTTCAATTATTTAAGTGCTACTGTAGATAATTGAGTTTAAGGAACGATTAATTATTATTCCAAGAGTTAAGTAATTTAATTAATTTAGAGATTGATGTTTGCAAAATGGGAAAAATTTGGCTAAATTTATTTTATTTTGCAAATTTGAGCTATATTATTTTGACTCAATTTTTAAAATGCAGGCTAAGCAGTTATTCTCAAAAGTTAATTAGGATTAAACATTTAAAAAATTGTCTGTTTCCATTCATAACTAATCTCCAATTGATTAATTTTTCTTTGAATTTCCTACTAATTAAATAACTATAGTTTTATTTGTTCTTTATCTAGCCCAGATTTAAAAGCTACCAAAAATGATTAAATGAAATTATTACAAAAGAGTTATTCTCCACTAATAATTTCATAAAAGATTACTCCTACAGCCCAAATGTTTGAAGCCTAACTATGATATGATTAAATTTCACATAATTCAAGTGCTTGATAATTCTAATTAAAGAATAGAGGAGCAAATAGGACAGGATTCTTTGATTCACATAACTTTAAATGTAACAATTTAACTTCTTAGCCAACCATCGTAAAGATTTTTGGTTAAACATCTTATTGAATCCAATTTTATTCATGTAAGAACTAAATTGATTATAATACCTAATAAACCTATAATTATTTACTTGTAAACAAATTGATTATTTCTATTAAATATCTAATTAATTTTTTTATAAATGAGTGACTAAATCAGCTTATCCTAATTCCATTACTATTATTAATTGATGTTGAAACTCAAATTAATCATAAATTATAATAATTCCTGATGGATTACAATCTGAAGCCTGTAAATTTTATTTTTTTTAATAATCTTTAATCTGTTGATAAATATTCTTAAGGTTTTATGTATTATTCAAATGAAAAGGAAAAGCTTGTAGTGCAACTTCATTTTTAATTGACCAGTTGGAGGGAATTACTTAATAAATTATACTTTAATTAAATTTGTTTATTTAGCTTGTTATTTTGAATTCTCTTTTAGGATGTTTTAAGCTAGGAGCAGGGATAATTTACCCTTGTTGAAAAGGCAAATTCTATTAAAACATTTTTGATTAAATAAATTATTGAAAAAAAATAAGCACTTTTTAGTCCTCTATTATGAAAACAATGTTCTAAATAATAACAGTGCATAATGGAACCTTTCATAATGGATAATATGGATTAGGATTATGTTTTTTAAATCCAGAACCTAAAAATTAGTTAAAAAAAGTTATTTTTAAATAGGAATTGAATTTTTGTTGACTTCCATCCTTAAGAGATGATGAGTATTTGAAATAGCAAAATTAGATAATTTGAAAAATATGTTTATAGATATAAAATGAGATATATAGTGATATATTAGAAGTTTGTAGCATTCATTGTAGCATTTAAATTCTTCTGTCAGAATTGTAGTTTTTGTAAATGATTGATAATGTTTTATATGAAATCTAGCATGTTATAATAAAATAAATGATATATATTAAATCAATCATATGAGATAATAAATATAAATATACAATATTTAATTGATTAATGATGAATATAGTTTTATTAGTGGTTCTAGTGGTTTAGCTTTAAGCTGATAAATTGATATAGATACAAGCATTATGGAGACATGGTGCAAGAACACCAATATTTTGTAATTGGAATTGTATGTATTTCCGAAGTCATGAAATGCTTGAAGGTTATTTAACACCAACAGGAATGAGGTAACATTATGTTTTAGGATAATGGATGAGAAAAAGATATGTAGAAGATAATAAGTTATTGAGTGAAACATTTAATGCATCAGAAATAACAATATATGCTACAGATGTGAATCGTACAATAATGAGTGCAATGAGTAATTTCTAAGGAATGTATCCAAATAATGGTCCTGATGTTCCAAATAATGTTGAGGATTCATTTCTTAAACCACCCAATCCAAATGCTGAGCCAGATTTAGATATTGGAAAATCAGCTTTAAGATTTAACATTTAGGTTCTACCAATTCATATGAGAGCAGGTCTAACTGATATTCAATTAAGAGCTTATGGAGCACCCTAATGTGCATAGGCAGCAACATTTTAGATTGAAAATTAACATACAGATTTAGTTAAAAATGTTTCAGAAAAGGCACATGATACATTAATCTAATTTTGCAATGAAATGAACATTGATCCACAAAACTTTACAATATTCAATATGTCTGAATATATGGATACATTCTATTCCAGTATTTATAATGATTATCCAATGCCTCCAAATTTGAAAAAAGAAACATATGATAAAGCAGATGCAGCTTATTCTTTAACTATCGCATTAAAATTATATTAAACATGGAAGTATATTATTATTACTTAACTATAGATAAATTACAACTTAATCAGCTCCATTTTTTGATTAATTATTTGAATACACAGAAAAAACTTTAAATAAAAGTTCAGCATTCAAATATATTGTATACTCAGCTCATGATGTTACAGTTTAATTAATTGCTTCTGCTTTAAATATAACATCAGCTGAATGTATGGCTTAAGTTTATCTTGGTTAAGAAGTATAAAATAAGAATTGTATTTACACTTATCCTGGATTTGCTTCCAATATTATTTGGGAATTATGGTAAAATGAAACTAGTAATGAAAATTACTTTAAGATTCTTTATAATGGTACTGAAATGAATCTATGCAATAAAAATTCTACTAAGTGTTCCTATAAAGAATTTAAAGAATTAATCCAAACTCAAAAAGGTGACTTTTAAAAAGATTGTGATATTGAAATCGAACCTATAGTAACATATTTATTATAATTATTTCTAAGATTGAATATAGAGTACCTGTTTGGATGATCACACTTACTATTATATTTATTCTTGTCATTGTTGGATTCTGTTTTTATGGCATTTACTTATATAAGCAAATCAGATAGGATAAAACTTTATTGAGCTAGAATGCATGAGTTTTTAAATTTAATATATAAAATAATCAAAATATTAATATGAAGTGATTACTGTTCCTATTTATAATATATATTTTATTATTTATGATCAAAACAACATAAACACCACTTAACAAAGAAGAATAAAGACGCTTAAATTAAATAGTTTAATAATTATTAGACTCCAATGATAGCGTAGAATTTAGACAACCTGTAGATTACAAAGCATTAAACCTGCATGACTACATTACTATTGTTAAAAAACCAATGGATCTTGGCACTGTCTAAAGAAAATTAAATAGTAACACTTATAAGACAGTTGAAGAATGCTTAGATGATATTCAATTAATTTGGGATAATTGCAAATTGTATAATGGTTCATAGAGTGTAAATATTATTAATAATAATAATAGTGGATTACTAAGATTGCAGAGAAATTAGAGAGATTATTTAAAAAGAATGTTAAAAACTACCTTCCTCTTGTAAATTTACCACAATTTGTACCAAAATAGAAAGACTTAGGGGCAGATGTATTTTAAGAGGAACCTTAAGATTTAGTGAGTTACAATGATAAAGTTGAGTTTTCAAATAACCTTAAATAATTGGCTCCAGAATAAATAGGACTTATTGTTCATATGATTTAAAATACATCTCCAAATTCTTTTGTGGAAATAGAAGGAGAGAAGTATCAAATAATAGTAGATTATATTGAATACGAAGCATTTATAAAATGTTAAAAATAAATATAGACTTGGATTGCAGGAGATACAATCAATAAGAAAGTAAAAATTTGATATATATATATATAATTAAATATTTAAAATGAAAATGCATAACAAACATATAATCATTTCAAAATAACTAAATTTCATCAAGTATCTGCAGAAAGCATTTGTCTAGATATTGAATGAAAGAAAACACTTAAAACTACATCTTCATTTTTTATTTTTAGTTAGTTATTATGAAATCTATCAGCATCAATTAATTAAATGTGAGTAGTTACAAAAAATATTTTTCATCTGGTCCTAATGTAATCATATAATGATTATGACTATTCATATATTTTTGTCATACGTTTTTAATTATTAAATCATTCTTACATCATATTATTTAATAAATAGCTTCTTTGAACAACATAATAATGTATGATTATCTTATGAAATACATATAGATCTAACAGAATCATCAAAAAAAGATTTCTCTTAAAAAATACATTTTGAATCTTTTTTTAATGAATACTTATAGATCTATTTCTATGTTCTTAAATGATAATGATAATTGGTATATATTTTAAAATGATTATACATTATGTCTCCTAATTATTGATAATAATTAACTCTCTTTTTGAAATAGTTCTGGTACAAAAATAATTATTAATATTCTTAATTGTATTTATCTATTTTTAGATCTAAAAACACATGAATGTTTATCACTTCCTAAAAAGTTGAACATGTCACCCTTATATAAATGACCACTTCCTTATTTCTTATTTCCATAATTAAAAATAAAATAATTAACAAGAATTATCTGTTGATGATACTAATATTAAATCGTAAGATGAAGAAAAATCTATACTTGGAAATACTTCATCCCCAGATATCTAATAATATGAAACCTATGTTAAACTAAATGGATCATATAATCTAATTGTTCTATCTCCACCACAAGTTACTATCAGTTTACCATTTAAATTTTAAATTATTCCATAAATCTCTACATTATGAAAGTTATTACCGTTTAAAGTATTATCTATATTCTATTTACTATTTTTTATATTATTTTTTAATTCTATTAGTATAAAACCATTTCTTATTCAAAATTATAATATATCATATTTGCCAATTATTATTCTGTTACTAAAAGAGCTAAAGTTTAGAATTTCCCTTTCTTCTATATTCCTCAATTAAATCAATTATTTATTTAATAATAATATTATATTTATACTGTTTGATTAAATAATTTAATATAAAATTATTGCTTTCATGGTTGTTTAATTACTCTCGTCGTTACATAGCGAGCATTTCTAACTTCTTAATCCTATGTAAAACTCTTATCATTAGAACTAATGTAATTCTCCTACTTATAGGCTGATTAACTTTTTTCAATAGGATTAAGCTCTTTCTCTAATTATTCTTTTTAATATTATAGATTCCTTTCTTCTTCTTATTTTTCTAATTTCAAATTCTTCTATTCAATTAATTTCTTAATTTACTCATTTAAGGAATCAATATTATTTTAAAGTTCTCCTAAAGGCTTAATTTCATTTCTTAATTTATCAGCTTCTTTCTATTGTTAATCAAACTACCTTTTCTAATTAGGTAATTCCCGAAGCTAAGCTCTCATTAATATAATCATTTCTTTATTTTTTTTAACTTTATCTTCTAATTCTTTTAATTCTTATAATTTTTCATTAAGTTGATCCATTTCATTTTATTAATTATCATAAAATTTTAAATTTTGTTCTAATTTCTCTATTTTAACTTTGAGTTCATTTATAATTTTTTCATTGTTCTTTATTTCCTCATCAAGCTTTTTATTCAATTCTAATTCTATTTTTAAAGCCACTAAATCGTTTTTTGTTTAAGTAAATTCTTTTTCAGCATTTTCACCTTCCTTTATTTATTGTTACAAAATTAGAATAGTTTATTCTAATTTTTTTTTCTATTCTTAGAAATATTAAATATTATTTGCTTCTAATTCTAATTATTAAATTTATTTTTAAAGTTCATTGATATCTTTTTAAAGCTAATTTTACGGAAATCTACCTTGAGTGTCGTTTGATTTTTTGATAAGGTCTATTTCATCTAATATTAAATTCTTTTTTAAAATTAATTTTTGCTTTTGCTTCAATTCTTTAAGTTCATCCTCTAGTTTTTGCAAATCTTATTATTTATTCTCAAATTTTTAAACAATAATGTTTAGTTTATTGATATTATTTTTTAAATCAATTGTTTTCTTATCTAATTCCTATTCTTCTTAAATTAACATACATTTTTCTTCCAATTATTAAATGGATTTTTTAATTTATTCATAATCATCTTTAATATCTGTTTGCAATTATTTCTTTTAAATTTATTTTTAATTTTCTGAATTAAATTCCTAAATTTCATTTGAATTGCTTTCTGCATAATTGGGGTCTAATTAAGTTAAAAGTCTTAATGATAAATCTTTTAAAGTAGATAATTATTTAGTCGATTATTCTTTTTATTATAATAAAAAATTGAAGTTTGTAGATTAGGATAAAACTTATATGATGTTATTAATTTAAGTTGATATGTTTAGTTAAAATTACTGTTACATTTGAGGTTATATAGGCGAGGGAGGGATTTATTTTATTTAAATCATTTGTGATTGAGTTAAACTAATAGCAGCATTTGAGTTTTATAATTTTACAGTTGTTTATATGCTTGATTTTGATAATATATCAAGGGCTTCTTTAGAAGTTATTCTTTCGTTAGGATTTGGATGAGCCATTCTTTTCATAGTGGTTTTCCATTCATCAGAAATAGGCAATTCATCAAATTTATTGTAAATATAACTTTGATTTTATATGTGTTGTTTGATTTTTTCGTTTAATTCTTCAAATGTTTAAACTAATATGATATAAAAAGTGTAAATACCTTAAAATATACTTTGTCCTTTAAGAATCTCATAAAAAACTAAAGCCATAGCCCAAACATCAACAGCAAATGTGTAATCTGATTTTCCTTCAATTAATTCAGGGGCTTGGAATAGCTAAGTACCAACTTTCTAAGTATGAAGCCTTTAATTATTGATTTACAACTTTATTAATCCAAAATCAACTAATTTTACTTATGATCCAACAAGTATGTAATTTTCAGGTTTAATATCTCTATGAAAAATATTTTAAGAGTGTAAAAATGTAATTGATGTTAGGATCTAATTATAATTTTAATATTTTAATTACTTATAACAATATTGATTATTTTTATTGAATTGTCAAATTAGTGTTTTGGATATATTAATATAAATCCATTGATCCTAATTCCATTACTGTGACTAACATATTTTAATACACAAAATAATCATAAATTCTTATAACATTAGAAGAATAAATATATTGGCCATTTGAAGATTCATATTTGTTTTAATATTCTATAATTTTGTTGTAGAATTCTTTAAGTTCTTCCTTAAAAACAGTTTGAAATTTTAAAGCAACTTCTTATTAAAATCCAGACCAATTAATAGGAGTAGCTTTAAAAACACTACCTTCAGATCCATTTCCAATTTATTGTAATATTTTAAATTATCTATTACTATAATTTTGTGTAGGTGCCTTTATGAGGTAGCCTTGACCTAGTTAAAATGACTAATTCTATTAATACATTTAATTATTTTTTATTAAATTAATTCTATATAAATTATTTAATTTTCAAAAAGCTTTCATTGGAAAAATAATAATATTAATTTATGAGATATATAATTTCCTCTTTATTAATATCCTTTGTTATAAGCATCAATTATTTTTATGGAGCATAAATTAAATCATCTGATTTTGAGAATTGGTAAAAGAAATATGGATACTTTAAAACAGATTATGAGAGACAATATAGATAAATGATATACAATAAAAATAAAGAACGAATATTAGAACATAATAGCAAATAGGACGAAACATATAGAATGGAGGAGAATTAATTTATGACATTAACTCATGAGGAGTTTGTTGGAATATACTTAAATGAAATTGAGACATCTCTACCATAAATATCAATTCTTAATAAAGATTTATAATCCCCTTTAAAAGCAGTTGATTGGAGAAATTACACAACAGTTTATAATTAAGGCTCTTGTGTAGCTGGATGGGCATTTTCAGTAAGTAGTTCTATAGAAGCTTGGCATTATATAAGAGATAGTGGAAAGAATATTTCTGTAGCAGTCTAACAATTAATTGATTGCGATAAAAATTCATTTGGATGTAAGGGCGGTTAAAATACAAATGCTATGCTATATGTTTTATAAGAGGGACTCTATCATTCTTAAAATTATCCTTATATAGGTTTTGATTAAGCTTGCAAAGCAACTAAAAGTGGTAATTATTCTATCAATAATTACACATTTGTGGGAGGTTCTTCATAATAATTGTAAAGTTCATTATAATATTATCCTGTATCTGTTGGTTTAGATGCAACAAATTGGTAATTCTATAGTTCAGGTTTATTTTCTAATTGTTCTGATAATCAAACTAATCATTATGCTCTTGCTGTAGGTTTTGACTCTAATTACAATTGGGTTGTTTAGAATTCTTTTGGTACAGGTTGGGGAGAAAATGGAATTATCAAACTATTACCAAATAATACCTGTGGAATATTAAATCAAGCCTATCAAATATATTGAAAAATATTCATCTAAACAAATAAGCCATTATTTAAAAATATTTTTAAGATTTGAGCAATATTCTATTAATTTTAATTTAAAATATTTTTTTAATCTCAATATATTCTCCTATTTTGTTGTTAGAGTTCTCAAACAGTAAACTTAAGATTTTTACAAAAATTTATTTTTTTTTAGATAGATTTTTCTTTAAAAAAAGAGAATGATCTATTTAAAATAAAAAGTTTGAAATCTAAGAGAGAGAGATATTTATAATATGATTAATTTTGAAATATTTTATGATGGAATTTTAAAGTAAAAAGAATTTATTGGTATTGAATAAAAATGAGAAAATTATTATGTGAATATGATAATAAATGAATAGGAAGTGATATAAAAGGAAATAGAAGATTAATAAGGAATTAGGTAGAGTGTAAATTAAAAAAGATGAAAGAAATCAATATTTGTAATAGAAGTAAAGAATAAGTAGAAATATAATGGTAAAAGAATTTATAAAAAAATATTTTGAAAGGAGAAAATAATTAGAAGATTATTAAAATAAATAATATGTTAAATTCTTAAACTTAATCACAATCAGCAATGTCAATATTGGGTTATGTACCTGCTTTAATAGTTTAACATTTATTGAATTTGAAGATGAATAAGCTACCAAGAAGTTTACCAGAGAAATAAAATATAAAAAGTGTAGTGATGTTTGCAGATATATCAGGTTTTACAAAATTAACAGAGAAATTAAGTTAATTAGGGACGGAAGGAGCTGAGAGAATAGCATTTGCAATAAATCGATATATGGAATTATTAGTTTAGGGGATAGGAAGAAGTGGAGGAGATATTTTCAAATTTGCAGGGGGTAATAATGCAAATAAGCTCAGATGCAATGATAGTGATTTGGCCTCCACCACCAGAGGGAAATAACTTTATTCAATAGATAGAGACATTATTAAAATAAGCAATTCAATCTGCTTTGCTAATATAAGAGAAGCTGACCAAGACTACGATTGAATAAGGAATTCAATTAAGTGTGAAAATAGGTATAGATTTTGAATTATATATTAGGATTTGGTGTTGGTGAAATGAGTATAATACATGTAGGTGGAGTATTTAATAGAATAGAATATTTAGCAACTGGTGATCCTTTATTACAAGCCTTTGCTTCAGAACATTGTTTAACTGAGGGTGGAAAGATCATAATCTCATCTTAAGTTTATAATTTGGTAAATAACTTCTTTGAGTGCAAAGCAGTAGAAAATCATGAAAATCATTATGAAGTGATTCAAATAAAAAGTACATAAGCAAAAGTGAAAATGAAAGCAGATGCATTATTAATAAAAAATAATATAACAATAGCTAAATTTTAAGCAATAAGAAATGAGATTTAATCATATATTCCAGCAGCATTATTACCTTATATAGAAATAAATGAAGAACCATGGAGTGCAGAATTAAGAAGATTATCAGTAATGTTTGTAAATTTGGGAATAGATTTAAATGATGCAAAATCCGAAAAAGGATTATAATAAATATAAAGAGTTATAATGACAGTTTAGAAATGTATTTATATGCATGAAGGCTCATTAAATAAATTATTAATGGATGATAAGGGTTCAACATTAATTATTGTATTTGGATTACCTCCATTATCACATTAAAATGATGCAGTAAGATCTATATAAACAGCATAATTAATGACAATAGAATTACCTAAAATTAATTGTGGTTGTGCTATTGGTATAGTAACAGGTACTGTATTTGCTGGAGTTGTTGGGACTAGTGGTTCAAGAAGAGAATATTCAGTATTAGGAGATTCTGTTAACTTAGCAGCTAGATTAATGTAAGCAGCATGTGAAGAAAAAGAAAATAAAATTCTTGTTTGTTCTGAAACTGCTAAAAGTGCTGAAAATTGTCTTAGTTTTCAATTTCTAAGATCATCAATTGTTAAAGGTAAAAATTAACCTGTTGAAATTTATATTCCTTTATTAAATTCTTAACCAAGTACACCTACTAACTTTTTTCCTTAATTGAGAACTCATAATTATGCTTTTGGATTTAAAAGAAAAACTGAATTTGTCAATCAATATATCTATGGCAGAGATGAACCATATAAAAAAATACTTAATCAAGTTGATAAAATTATGAGAGGCATTGATAAAAAAGGTATTATATCATTTATTTCAATTTTAGGTTTATTTATTATTAAAGGTTCTTATGGAGTAGGTAAAACTATTCTTGTCAAAAAAGTACTTCATAGAATTTAAGAGAAATTAAATAGTAATTAATATAATTCCTGGAAATATGGAGAATTACCCTAAATTTTAACTTCACAATTAAATCCAGTAACTAGAGCGTATAAACTTAATGGTATAGAATTTTATATGATTAGTGAGGACTACGTTAGATTCTCAAATAAATTTTTATTCTCTTCTCTAAAAGATTAGAAAGACAACCTGATTTATCATTATTTCAATTGATGGTTGATGAATCATTATATTCTCAAAATACTGTTAATCTAATTAAAGAAATATTAGATTTAAAATGCATTTCTAGAATAGATAATTTCCCACCTAAAGGAAACGATGAAGAGAATCAATAAGAATTAAAAAAAATTGTAATTTTTTATATTCATTTTTAAAGACTTTGTAATTCTTAAGTAATTTCTTTGAATAAATCCCAGAAAAATATTAAAATCTTTATGTTGGTAGATCTCCAGAAGAATTAGGATGGGATGTCAAATCATCTAATGTAAGATAAGTCATCAAATATTCTATAAAATATAGTAATATCTTATGTCCTGTAATACTTTGTTTAGATGATATGCAAAACTATGATAATCTCACTTTCAAAATAATTAGTTTGATGATTAAAACCTATGATAGAATATCCATTTTAGGATTATATCGTGATAATTTTCATGAAATGACACTTCAAGTCAAAACAGCTGAAAAAAAGAAAACACAAGAAGAAATTGCTGTCGATGGAATAAGTAAATTAGAAGATGCTATTGACTAAAACTTTTATAGTATTATTCAATTGAAAGGAATTGAAAGAAAAGGAAAAGATGATGAATTTGCTAAAATGATTAGATTTTCATTTAACATATCTAAATTCGATATCGAGAATGTTAAACCTTCATAAGAAGAAGTAAGAAAAAGAGATGCATCAATTATAAATGATGTTTGTGTACAAGAAACTTTGAATAAAGAGATAAATCATTAATTTTTATTCCCTTAAAATAAGTAAAGCTTAATAGAAAAGGATATCGAGTTATTACTGTTATCATATATATATTTAAAAACATAGGGTGTACCTTTAATGGTGTTAAATTTAGTTTAGAATTTAATAGATTAAGGATATATAAAGATTGGGAATAAGAGTGCAATAATAACAAAGGAACTAATAAATATAATAAATTATGAGGAGAGTATTATAATAGATGCTCCATGTGATCGTATAGCCGTAAATGGTCCAATAATAGATAAGTAAATGATGTTTAGTAGATTGTAGACTTCCTTGTTTGGAGTAATTGATTTTGAAAGTAGCAAGTATAATTGGGGATATTTTTGACATTCAAATGTTGAGTAGGATAAATCCATTTAAAGCAGCATTAAACAATCGATTATAGAAGATGATGGATGAATTGGAATAGAAAGATTTTATTGAGATAATGGAAGTTTAGGAGCAAAATATATATTATAGATTTACATGTCCATACATGAGAGATTGTTTATATTAAAGAATAACATTTAAATAGAGAAGATAATTGCATAAGGCAGCAGCAGAGGCAATATAGTTATTACCTCTAGCATTTGAAATAGATGAGAGAATAGAGAGTAAGAAATTGTAATTTCATTGGGTGATGGCAGAATAAAATAATTAATTAGTATAGTAGTAAACCTAGAATTTTAAGGGTAGACAATCAAGTGGTTCAGTTAGGAATTTAGTTTTAAGGGCAACATTAGGATTAGGAGGACAGAAACAGTTGAAATAAGAAGGAAATACAAATACTCAAGTAGTTGCATAAGTAAATTAATATAAATTCGATAATCTATCATCAAAGGCAATGAGATCAATTATATTAAAATAGATATCAAATAAATTAACAAAGAATAATAATAATATAAATACAATTTTGAAGGAGGGTATATTGGAGAAGAAATCAAAGTAGAATGTTTCATGGGCATCTCGTTATTGGGTATTGGATGGAAAAGAGATGAGATGTTATTATAGTAAATAGGATATTTAGAAGAAAGAATTACCATTATGTACTATTCCATTAAAAGGTATATATTCAGTAATTCCATTGGATCTAAATGAAAAGAGTGAAACTAATTTTCCACTTTCTATTAGTTCTACTTTATGGTATAAGAAAAATAAAGAAATGGGAGAAAGAAGGTTCTTATTAAATAGTAGAAATGTTGAGGATTTGGAGATGTGGATAATATATTTAGAATTTGCAAAGGCAAAAGCAATATATGATGATTTTACTAATAATTATGGTAAAATTAGTTTTCCTTTGGGTAATAATAATGATTATTATGATCCAGAGTTTAAATACGATGTTAATATTGAAGTATAAATATTTTATAATTATTTATAGAAATAGAAATTATCTTTAGGATTATAATATGATAAGAAAAGTTCATAGGCAAAGTTGAGCAAGAATTCAGTATTATCCAGAAATTCAAGAGCTTCTCGAATGACTATAGCTACGAAGTAATTTAAATTTATGGAGAAAGCATCTTAGGAAGAAAATATGCTTCAAAATTCTTAGATAATTGATAGTTAATTATTAAAAGATAGAATCAATAGTTTTTTGTAAAAGAGGTATATAATTTGTTTTGATTTGAAGCATGCTCTTATTATTTTCTCATCTATTTGATATGTCTTTGTAAAAATAGGATGATTATAATATATTAGGTCAACCAAATATGGTAATGAAAAAGATGACAAATATTTTTAAGATTGATAAACAATTGACTTCAGAGAATAAGAAATAATCTAATTCTTTTATAACAAATTAATCATAATCAATATCTATAAGTAATTCGACTGATTAAAATTCTAATCCTATATAATAATAGGTTTAGTAATAATAATAACGTAAGGCCATTACTTTAGATGGCAATCCATTAGTTGCTAAGAAAATGGATACTAGTTTAGATTAGGAATCAGATAATAGTAGTAATGAAGTTGAATAAGACGGACTATTATAAACAAGAACTTTATAATAAATTATAGAAGAAGAATATGATAATGAAATGAGTGGTATAATCATTTAATTTATTATTTTAGAAAGTACAAACTAATAATAATTATAATAATTTAAACAATAAAGAAATTTAAAATATCAGGATGAAAATAGAATGAAATCAAGTTCGAAAATTTAGTAAGATGATATTAAACGCTCTGATAGTCAGGACAGCTTAGAATAAAATATTACAATTTCTAGAAGACAAACTTAAAAATAGGAATAAGTTGTTAAACAAATGAATTATTTTAAATTACAAACTTAAGAAATGAGAAACATAACTGAATTTAAATTGGATATGGCTATTTAAGTTGATTTGGATTAAGTTAATAATACTATAAGTAAATCTATAAGTAAATCATCTATTGATCCAAAGTCTGAATTTTCATATTAACAAAATGATAATTAAGAATTCTTGAAATTATTTGAAAATAGCACTAATTAAGGATAGTCATAATAAAATAATCAATTCAGTAATAAAATTTTAGATGATAACAAAAGAGACACAATTTAAACACATATATCTTCTTCAAATTTTTTATCTACTTAATATCCGTTTTTACATCATCGATCTACTCTTCTATCTTCCAATACGAATTAAAAATAAAGATAACCACCATAATATGCGAGTAGATAGAGTCAGATATCTCAAAAAACTATTACAAATTCTATTTTATCACAATAATATTAATACGGAACAGCATTAAATACATGTAAATCATTAAGTGGAGATATATTTATTCTAAGACCAGGATATAGAGTGGTTGTTACTAGAATAGATCAATAAAAGAAGTTGATATATTGTAACTATTAGAATATGCAAGGTTTATTTTATTTGAGAGATATAGCTGTTATTGAAGGTATATATGATAATCAATTTAAATATAGATAATTAGCAAGATTACTAAACTTAAATTAAATCTAGAACACCTACTATGTTTGAAGTCAAATATAAGGAATTATTAAATGATAGATTCAATACAAGAAGCAAGTCTCCCAATTATCGTTAAGCTTAATCTAAGACTCCTCCTAAAAAACCATTCATGAGATTTTGAATTTTACTCTATTCTTATATATACAGATACATCTTAACAGAATATTAATTAAATAATTCAAATTTATGATTCCCTATCCTCCAATAATTTAACAAACTCTTAGGTCAGCAAATCAAAGTAGTGGATTCAAAGAGTCTGAAGATAAATTTTAACATTCCACACCTAAATATGTTCTTAAAGTTCCAATCCCTTCATTACCAACATTGCAATAACAAAATTAATCTGATAAAAAAAGTAAATCAGGACTTAAGGAGAATAATTTTAGTGCAATTACATTTGATTAGAAGTATTAATTGACAATTCAAAAAGAAAATGGAATCCAGATAGCCAAGGTTCTGATAATAAGTGTGTATTGTCTTAATCAGCTAAGAAAGTTAATACAGAAAATGATGATGGATCAAGTATTGTTGAAAAGTCTTTTACAGAAGCAGCATAAAAGATATTGAAAATTAAAAATCTTGAATTAGAAAATAAAATTTCATTACTTGTTATTGAAAATGAACGTCTCACTACATTTCTTAATGATTAATTTTAAGAAAATGAAAAATTAACTAATGATGTATAAAATTATTAAGCAAATCTTTAAGATTTATCAAAAAACTATGAAGATAAATTAAATATAGTTTTATTAGAAAATGAAAAAATTGTAGCAATTAATCAAACTTTGACTATGAAAAATGAATAGATGTAAAATCAAATTAAAAGATTATTAAATGAAAAAGATGATGAAATTAACAAAACTAAAAAAGAATGGGCAGGCAAATACTAATAATAAATTAATTAAATTGATGAAATGAGAAAAAGTGAAATTAATTAAGTAGATAATAGAATTGAAATCTTACAATACGAAAAATCTGAATTACAAGCCTTAATATAAGAGTAATAAAGAAAATTAATGGAATTTCAAATGGAAATTTAAGTTAAAGATCACTCTTTAGTTGATTTGGAAAATATTAAGGTTGATTTAGCATCTAAAATTCATAAAATTGAAATGATGAGTCAAACCATATTGGCCTAAGAAAAAAGAATAAATGATTTAGAATCTAGATTAGATATTATGGTAGCAGATAATAAGTAATTACATGATGTTAATGAATAATTAAATTAAACATAAAGAATACTTTAAGGAACTATGGAAGATAGATAAATTGAGTTTGATAGGGAATCTCATAAACAAAAAGATTTTTATGAGTTGGAATTAAAATCTTTGAGTAGCAAAAATAAATAGTAAATAGAAGAGATTAAGCTGTAACACTAAGAATAATTGCAGAGTTAGAGAGTTTAGATTGAAAATGAATTAATTAAGGAATTAGAGTAATATAAAATGGAATTGGAGACTAAGTAGAATGAATTGAATAATAATTTATTAATTTGGTAGGAGAAGGAGAGGAATATCAAATAGGAAAATAAAAAAGAAATAGAAATAAAAGATTAAATGATAACTACATTAAAATTTTAAAATTAGAGTTTATAAGATTAAATGAATCAATTATAAACATTAATTAATAAGTATGATATTGATATATATAAGAATGTAAGAAGATTTTGATAGTCAATATAGTTCGAAGGAGACAGAATGTGTAAAGATGGCTAAAAACATTCATGTGAAAGAATAGGCATTGAAATAGATGAGTTTAAGATTGGATGAGATTTGTAAGTAATTGAAGATTTTGGAAGAATAAAGAGATGAATAAAGTAAGGAGATGAAGAATAAGAATGATAAAGTTAGAGATCTTGAAATGAAAATAGATATTGTTGTTAAAGATAATGATAGTTTAGAAAATTAGGTGAGAAATACTTAAACTTAAGTAAATATTGTAAATAGATTTAGTTAAAATTATTGGAATAGAGATATGCAAATTTAGAATAATCAAGTGAATAGAAGATAGAAGATATGAAGATACAATATGAATTAGAAGTGTAAGCATAAATAGAGTAATGTATTACTTAGTATTAATAAACAATAAAATATGAGTAAGATCATTCTGAATAATTATTGAAGAATTTAAAGAAATAGTAAGAGAAGGCTAAACATTTTGAATTGTTAAGTTAATAATAATTAAATGATATGGAAAAATTAAATAAAAGAATAGAAGAGTTGATTGATGTATGTGAATAGAATGCATCAAAAATGATGATATTAGAAAATCTTCTTAAAGAAAGAGATAATGAATATGATGTTTTAAATCAAAAATTATTCTCAATTACAGAAAACTATGAATTGTAAATAATAAAATAATTTTAAGGTAAATTGATGTATTGAAGAGATAAATGTATGATATGGGTATTCAAAATGAAGAATTGGCAAATAATTTTAATTAAAAACAAGAAGAATATATAAGTAAATGTGATTAATTAAATTTAGAGTATGATGAATAAAAGAAGAAAATAATGAATGATTTGGCAGATGTAACCAAATAAAGGATTGATTAAGACTAATTACTAAAGAAGATGAGAATATAAGTTTAAAGTTTAGATGAAGAAAATAGAAAAAACTCTGAAGATTCTCATAAATTTAAGAATTAGGTTTATTAATTACAATAAGAAATTGAAGAGATTACTCAAAGTTTACAATTAAATTTTGCTGAAAAAGAACAGGAATTATAGAATAAATATGAAAATACCATAATTGATTTAACTTAATAGTTGAATAATTTAACATTTAAATATAATGATTTAGTTAGAAAAGAGAAAGACAATAGATTTAGATTGAAATTGTTGAAAAGCAATCCTTAAATGAAATTTCCATCAGAAATGGAAGATGAAAATTGTTATGAGACAATGAAGAGAAAGATGGAAGATTAATCTTAATATCTACAAAGATTGATTTTGGAAAATGATGAATTAAAACAACAATAATATTCACATATTAGTAAAGGCCCATAAAATGAGTAAATAAAATAGAAATCTTAAAGATAAAGCATGAATATGATAAAAGATTACACTACTTAAGATACAGAACGAACATTACATCAAAATGAATATAAGAAATCTATGAATCCTTTTAAATAGCAGCCAGTAAAAGTTGTTTCAGTATTTATTATTATTATTATTAAGGTTATGAATAATTCTCAGAATATTCTTGAATAAAGATATAGTAGCAATAGGCCAATAGAGAGAGATGTTTATCTAGGCTAAACATAAAATACAAGGACCGAACCTCATTTGTATAGGAAATAATCATTATAGCGATTTTGAATAAGAATATATATAATAAATAATTTTTAAGATTCACTATTTCTTATACTCTTTTAGTAAATATGAATGATATATTTAGTAAATCACAATCATTCTCTTCTTTCATTTATTCTGAATCGCACTTTTTTATTACCATCATATAATTTGAAGGTATAATCTGATGCTATTTCTGATGTTGTTTCTTAATTGCTTTTCCTTGGTGATAGACTTTTTGTTGATAGCTCATAAAAAGAAAAGTTTCTTCTATTGCAAGACTCTTCATTTTATAGGATATTCAAAGATTGAACTACTTATATTGGTTTCTATTAGAAAGTCTAAATAGTCGATTTTTTGCCTTGATTTATTGTGTTTGATTCAGAAATCAATTGAAATGGAATTAATTTAGGGGTCTTTAAATTCTTACTTGAATTTATTTAGGTTTTTGTTTTAGGAGAAAAAGTAACAAGTTCTTTATACTTATTGTGAAGAGTTTCAAAGTCTTCTTCATCTTGCAAAACATTTAAGTTTGAATCCATAGATCAGTAACAAACTTTTATATCTGTGCAATTAATCTTAAATTATTTATAATCAAATGATATTTCAACGAATATAAATCTCGTATTATTCATTTTGGTCAAATTCATTGAATTTTAATTTTGATTCCTTATAATATATTAATATATAATTCAAATAATGATTATTGAATAAATTAAATTATTTAATTAATTAATACAAATGGTGGATGCTAAACAATTGATGCCCATAAAGAGGTTTTTAGAGACTTCTTAAGATAAAATCAAATTGTTTTCAATAGATTAACCTGAACAAATACATATGTAATACTAAATTTATAATTCAAGTTATCATAACATAGGTCGTGTAACAAAAGTAGAGACTAAATCTACATAAGAATAAAAATCAAATACATCAATAGGATTCTTTGCAGTTTATGGAATAATGCAATTAAAGAATTGGTCATATTTGTTATTAGTTACAGAAGCAAACATGGTTGGATAAATATTACAAAGAACAATATTATAAGTAGAAAAGATAAGTTTTTTGCCTTTGGTATCAAATGGGAGAATGGATGAGTAATTATATTAATTTAATAAATAGCATACATGCAGATGATTAGACTTACTATAAAATGTTAAAGGAAGTGTTTTCAACAAAAACATTATACTTTAGTTATGAATATGATTTATCTAATCCTTTTGATAAAGTTATGGGTAATAATTCATAATTTGGTACTTAATTAAAAACAAGTGAAGGACTTCATTATTATAAGATTCCTAATAATCGTTTTGTTTTTAATTGGGAACATATTAAATTTTTAAATCAATTTTAAAGTACAAACTAACCTGCCTTATAATATTGGTAAACTATATTTATAAGTGGATGTGTTTTTATTAGATATTGCAAACTTAATTAATAATCTGATTGTTTTCTTATTTTACTTAGTAGAAGAGAAACTCTTAGATCAGGAAGAAGATTTGTATAAAGAGGATGTGATTAAGAGGGTAATTGTACTAATTTTGCAGAAACTGAACAAATATTGATTCTTAATAGACAAGACTCTAGAGACATTTATTCTTTTGTTTAAACTAGAGGTTCTATGCCTTTTAATTGGTAATAATAACCAACATTGAAATGGGCACCTAAAGCTACTATTATTGGTGATAGATAATACAATTAAGAATTATGTAAAAAACACTTTGAAAAATGTGCAGAATCATATTAACAATTACAAATTATTCTTAATTTAATTGATAAAAAAGGAACATAAAAAATGTTAGGAGAATATTTTACTAATATGATTAGTGGTGTTAAAAGTATTAAAACTAAATATGTTTGGTTTGATTTTCATCATGAATGTAGAAATATGAAATATGAGAATCTAGCTAAATTATTAAATGAAATTAAAGAAGATCTTAAAAAATCTGGATATTTTCATGCTGAAATTGATAAGAATAATTATAATGTGTTATCAAAAATACATAATTAATAAACAGGTGTTGTAAGAACTAATTGTATGGATTGTTTAGATAGAACAAATGTTGTTTAATCAGTTGTTTGTAGAAATTTCTTATTATAAATTTTAAATTAAACAAATATTATTCATACATTAACTGGTGAAGCTTTATAAGTCTTACCAAATGATCTTGAATAAATATTTAGAGATTAATGGACTAAAAATGCAGATATTATGAGTGTATTATATTCAGGAACTGGAGCTTTAAAAACAGATTTTACTAGAACTGGTAAACGAACATTCTGGGGTTCATTATAAGATGGTAAAAATTCATTGCATAGATATTACATTAATAATTTTGTTGATGCACATAATTAAGTAATATTATAGTAATATGAATATTTAGAATTGTATTGATTTGGCATTAGGAAAATTAGAAGCTGATAAAATTAATTATAAAAAAACTAAATTCAATGGTGTCTTACAATTACTCATTTTTGTAATCTATTTTTATTTATTCAAAGATTATTTTTTTGATGTACCTTATGACAAATTTATTGCCTGGATTAATCCTAGATAATTAATCTACTTTATATGGCTCATGTATAATCTAATTATTTATTTTTGGAATAAGTCTGTTCATAACAAGTAAGATTTTACTGAAAACACATTATTTGTTTATAACCAAACCATTAAGAGATCAAAGTTGATTATCTATTATATAAAATATATCAATAAAATTATCATGCTTTACAAGGCATATCTAATCTCTAATAATATGCATTCAAAGATCCAACATAAGTGAATAATATTGCTATTACTACACTAATATGCCAAATTTGATGACTCTATCCGCAATTATCAAATTTCCCTGGAATTTATTTCTCAGGAAATCGTATATTATAAATATATAATCCAGATCTAAATATAATTTTATGCAATACAAATATGAAATAGCCATTGCAGCATAATAAGGTAATTATGATGAAAAGCTATATCCTTCCAAACATGTATCTCCTATTGCAAAATGAATCATAGGTATAGCACTAGTAAATCCAAGTCCAGCAAATAATTTATTTTTCAAGGATCTCCATTCTGCAGTATAAAAAAAATCAAATAAACAAAAACTAAAAAGAATGATTGCAAAAAAGCCTTATAAGCTGGCGTATATGATTGCATATTTTAGATTACATTAAAATCCATAAAATAATGGAGCAAATGTGGAACCTGAAACAAGAAAACATATACCAGCATAATCTAATCTAATGAGAACTTTGTTGACATTTTCAGAGAGACAATAAAATAGATGATAAGTGGTACTACAACCTAAACAAATGATTGCAGATACAAGAAATGCAATCAATGGCCATCTAGATATCATTTTATGTAGTTTTTCTTCATCAATAGTTTAACCTCCAGTAAAATGTTGAAATTCTAAATAAAGATCAATCCAATCAAAATCTTTGGATTCAACAATTTCTGTGGCTTTCTATTAATAGTCTTAGATTATTTATGAGATATTATATTTCCATTTCAAGTTTTCCCAATCAAATGCTTCAGCAATATTTTTTTGGATTTTTGAAAATTCTTGATCGTATTGATGTGCTACTTCATCGAAATACTTATTAACATTGTCAATCTTTTCATGTAATTCCTTCTACATCAATACAATGTCATCTTAAAGATGGTGAAGTCCATTTTCTAATTGTTCTTAGATTTATTATTCAAGAGTGTAAGCATGGTCATAAATGTTATTTAGTGATTCTAGATAAATGGTAGTTTGAAGTACCATTAAATGACTAGATAGCTTTATGACGAAAGAGTTCATCATAATTAAGCCAAAGGTAAAATATTAGAGAGACTATGATTATAGCTCCAATCAAATGAGTCCAAATATTGACTAATTCATTGTGCCACATAAACATGCTCTTTACTACGTCCTTTTTATTTTTGAAATTAATTCTATAGCCGTGTTTAATGTATTAATCTTTTAGATAGCCAGGAGCTTTACAAATGGGACCACTATTCACATCAATCATAACTATTACATAATTCTATCATGGATGATATTCTCTTTGATTTCTTTTGTTTCTTATTTGATTTCTGATGGTACCCTTTGTGTTATATTGGTTTGACTCATTATAATTTATTAAATGTTATTTTATAAATTATCGTCACCATAAAATAATGAGAATAATTAAGAATTTCTAATATATATATTATATTTATATTTCAATATAATAATTGTTTAATTAAACATTATTATAATTATTCAATACTTATAATGAGTAAAATAATTGTTAATAAATTATTAATAATTGAATTAATCAAATAATTATCATAATACTATCTAATACAATGATGTAATAATAAGTAATATTAAATGAAAAAAATATTGATGAATGAAGCATTAATTAATATAACAAGAGAAATCATTATAATCTCTATTTACATTTAACATAAGAAACCTATAATATATATGTTAAAATGAAAGTCTAAAATTGAAATGATAAATTAAGAATTAGAAATAATAATAAGGAAAGAAATATATATAGATTTTCAATATTTGGTTCAAATTAAGCATACGATCTTACTAAAAAAAAAAAGAATTCAAAACATTATTACTTACATTAAAAAAAAAGAGTTTAAGGAGAGAAAAAGTGTACCAATAATAAGTTTCCAGAGAATGTGAATTGAAAAGATTTTAAGACAATAAAGAATTAAGGAATTTCTGATTTATATTGAACTATTTCAGAAATTGATGATATAAAAGCTGGATTCTAACATAAAGAGAAAGTAAATAGAATTTGTTGATTACCCAAAAGAAAAATTAATATTTAATGATATTTGGATGGAGGATGATGTTTTTAATTATACATTAAATTATAGTGACAGAAGAAGAATATCTATATAAATCAGTTGATAAAACTTGCACATTTAAATCAGATGCATTCGATGTATCTATTACTAATACATTAGTTTGATAATATAATTTTTATGTATTTTGTTTGTTGCTATTATGTTTTAAATTTATACTAATGGTATGTGTTTTAGAAATTGTACTGACATCTAGATCATGGTGTCTTAACTATTTGTAATACTAAAAGATTAATATATTATTAACAATTCTTTAGGAACTATTTGGGATGAAAAAAGATTTATGTGATTAGCTTTAATTGTTACTAAAGTATTGATAATAATGTGGTAGTTGTTATTTAGTATTATTATTTCTAATCTATTGATATTATCATTATAAATATTATACGCTCAAATTATTTAGTTTAAATTTTATATTTTGTATTTTTATGCCACCTAAAAATAAAGGTTTAAGTGCTAAAGAAAAAAGAGATAGAATTATGAAAATATTCACTGAAAGAAAAGAAGTTTTTAGTTATCCATAACTAGAAAAAGAAGCTGAAAAAGTTGGTATTAGAAGAGACAATGTTAAAGATATATTAGAAAGTCTTTTATCTGATAATCTTGTTGAAACTGAAAATTTAGGTACCAGTAAATGTTATTGGTCATTACCAAGTTAAGCTTTAATTAGATTATAATAAAAATGTGCTGAATATGCTGAAAAAATTGATTAAGAAAGATAAAAAGAAATTGAAATTGAAGCACAATTTGAGTCTATGAAAGAAGGTAGAGAAAATTGTTAATAAAGAACTGAACTTGAAAATGAAATCAATTAATATAAATCACAATATTCAGTTCTACTTAAAAACTTTGAAGTCAAATAAAAAAATGACCCACAAAGATTATAAAAACTAAGTAATCTATTATCATTATTAATATTTTAGAAAAAGAAACAGCTAATTTGAGATATGATGCTAATTCATGGACTGATGACATTATACAATTATCATTCTATCTCAAATCCTAAGCAGGAATGACTTCAGAATAATTAGATTAATTAGGAATACCTACAGAAATAGATAACATTTGATATTGATATTTGTTATTGTTTTTATTAATACATTTTAATTCATAACAAGAAGTTAATTATTTACTTCATTTTTTTTGTTAATATTTATGTATAAATTTTCTTCTTGTGCAAATAATCAATCGTAAGAAAAAATTCAAATTAATAAAGAATTAACTATAAGAAAAGAAGAATTGAATAATAATTTAGATAATCTCATGACTTTATTAGATATTTTAGATGATTAATTAGATCTAAAATTTATAACAAAACAATAATAGAATCAAGAAAATAGGACTATTCCTATTTAATAGGATGATTAATCATATTAATAAGAATTGGAAGAAATTAAACTCAAATAAGAGAGAATTATATTGGCTTTAAAAGCAGCAGAATAGAATAAAATATTTGAAAATAAAGAAGAAATGATTAAAAAATTTGAAGAAATGAAAAAATTTGCAAAATAGTAATACTTAAAAATATTATTATCAACTCCTAATGTATTAAAAAATAATAATTTTGAATTAACAAAAGATATTCTTGAAAAGGAATCTATTGATTCTTTAATTGAATTATAGGAATAATTAATTTAACTAGAGAAATGGTAAGAGATTGTAAATTTTTATCAAAATAATTAAATTATATGAATAATTGATATAAATATTGAACTAAATAAAATAGTATTCAAAATTTGGGCATTGATATTTAAATTTTGGTAACAATTCCATCCATATCTCTTTTAAAAATGGCTGGTTTGATATCTCTACTTTCTTTACCAATAGAAAAGCATGGTTTAGTAATACAATTAGATTTAATTTATACTCCAATAGATCCCCTGAGTTTGATAAATAAAATAATACTTTGTATAATAGGTTTAATTCTTATCAACACTTTTAGTAGGTTTCATCTTTTCTCCTTTAGTGAATCCAATACTAGGATAACTTTCATGAGTAACATCTAATGATTTATTTACATCATAAGATCCTGGACCAATTAAATCAGGTGTTGAACCTTAAAATGATTTAGATATAGGTCTTCTTGGAACTATAGTACATTAAAGTCCTTTTTTTTTAATGAGATTATTATATTAATCAGGTCCAGGAACTTAATTTTTATAATCTGTTTTGAAACGTTAGGCTAGGCCAATTTTCACAATTGTTGAATTCATCTTTCTAAAATCATTAGCTTTATGAGGTTCAAACTATTAATTTATGAATATAATTTAATATACATCTCTATCTTATCTTGTATAATAATCATATTATGTTGAATTAAGAAAATCTCTTTTAGATGTTCCTATTTTAACTGTTGCATTTTTAGTTAGTAATTCATTAATGTAATTAGAAGAATTGTAACAGGGTCCAGGACTATGTTTACCTTTTTGAAGTAGCTTTTTGTCTCTGTATATAGATTAAGCTTGATATCTGGTGGATGATCCAAATCCAAATGCAGGTGCAGTCTACTTCATTGATTCTAACACTAGAAATAGATCATTTCTATTTAATTACTCTTTCCCATAGATGAATAGCGTTTATGATTTTCAAATTCAATAAGATCATTTGGAGTATATAATTTAGAATTACTCATTATTAAAAATTAACAATTATTATTAAAGAGAATATTAAATATTGACAATGATTCATACAGGAGTTTCTATTGTTGATTATCAATATATCTATGAATGTATCTACATTATTCAACAATATTATAGAACATCCCTTATATTAAAATCCATATGAATTCACAATTTCTCCTTAATATCACTTCACTCCATCAAATATTAATTATGAATCTCAATTAGAAGAAGAATCCAAAATTAAGAAATAAGCTAAAAACAATAAGTAAACTATTGCTTATTAATCTTTTTAGAAAGAATAAAAAAAAGGAACTATTATTTAATACTTAAAATCAAATTGAATAGCCAATCCAATAGAATGAAATGATGTAACAATTTCATATTCATTTTTTAAGTCTTTAATAAATAATTCCTACAGAATATTCAATATAATAGGGAACCCTACTTCCTCAATAATAATCACATTTAATAACTTAATAAAATTTAAGTACTTCAAAATAAATTGTTAAATCAAATAAATTAACTAAAAAATTAAAAAAAGAAAATATTAATATAGGACATTGGTCTACTATTGAACATACTAATTATATTAATTTTTTATCACAATATGAAAACATTATGAACTCATCCATGATGAAAAAGACTTCCAAAATATTTAAATTAATGAGTGAATTAATTGGTACTCGTACACCTAGTCAATGTAGAAGTCATCATTAAAAATTTAATCCTTATACTTCTAAAGTAAATAATCAAAAAAGATAACCAAGAACTCAAAGAAATTAAACAACCAAAAAGAAATAAATAAATCATTAAACTCATTAATCTAGTTAAATATATTATTATTATTATAGATTAATTAATCGATAACGATTTCCATTATTTTACACAAGATAAAATTAATTAATATAGTCCATTTATATTTGATTATTAATTAAATCAACAAGAAAACTAAATTTAACCTGAAAATCCAAATTGCTTTATTCAAACTCCTTTTGAATATGAAGATGATTTAAAACTTAGACAAGACTATAGAAATTTGTTAGAATATTGATTTACATATAATTATAATAAAATAATCTATTTATTACTCTTATTATTTCAACAAAACTGATTCAGCTTTTAATTTTGAATTTTTTATTTAAAATTTCAATGAGCCATTAATTTCTGAAGAAGATATTATAATTAGAACTTTTCCAGAAATTCTAAGATGATAATACATTACTATATAGTTTATTAATAAGTATTATTTGTGCTCCTATATTTCTATTATGTTAAATCTTTGTGCTTATGCAATTAAATTTCATTAATGAATTCTTGAATATGTCTTAAAATTAACCTTGGATAGTAGTTATCTATTCACATCAATACTAAATATTTTGAAATAAACTCTTTAGATTTAAAAATTGTTATGTTCAGAATTAAGTAGTTAAAAATTTAAATATACATAAATAAAAAATTGATACATAGAGACAATTAAAAAATTTTATATAAAAAATATATATTAGTATTTTTAATTTGTTATTAATTTTATTTTAAGAAATGATAACAAAGCAAGCAAGAAAACTAAAGTTATTATCATAAAGAGTATATAAATATAAACTACTCTCTTTGATTTTCAATATTTGAAAATTACAGAAGGGATCTTGGATCTAAATTAGTAGTAGAAAATGGAATTTTAACAGGGTTATAAATGAACCATAAACCAAAACTTGTAATAAGTATTTTATAAAAATAAGCATTCGTTTGATTACACTATTTCCACAAAATATAGGTTTTGTAACAAATTTTAATAATGCTTAAAACTTAATAAAATAGATGAGAAATAGTAAAAATAATGTTTATTGAAAAATAAGGATAATGTTGATTTAATTATAAGGATATATTTTAAGATGACAATAATAATGGGGCTAAGAATGATGAAGAATTTAATGGAAATGGTTGTTAGAACTGAAACAAATATAGAATTATATGGAGAATAAACTGAAGATATCAATTATTCTAATGTTAAGTAGAATAATATTAACGTTAATATACATTTATTGTATATTATTAAGATAAAAATTTTTATCTATTTAAGTGTCTCATTTTTGTTCTTTGATTAAAATTAAAGTCCATTTTTATTATCAAATACAACTATCATTATTTTTAAGCTTAATCACATTATTGAAAAATGTTTTGGATATTCAAAAGGATTAATTATATATCATTGAATTTTTCTATTTTATAAAATGAAAGGTAAATTTGATATGAAAAAAATAATAAAATATTCTCAAATAAATGGATAGTTGCTTACAAGAGAGAGTACTTTTAATATGTATTTTAGAAATAAAATTGTATTCCATTTAGAATGATTTTCTCGAATTGAAAATTCTTTAAAATTAACTAATTCTATTACATTTCGAAAATTGTTTAAAATATATAATGTAAAAAGTAAAAATATAAATATATTAATAAATAATGTCTTATTAATTTAAGGAATACTTTCCTAATGATTTTATTCATCTTCTTTTGGCAGCATATAGTGCAGATGAAACAGGGTCGATAGGAGGAAAATGCCCTTTAAAAAAAAATTAAAAGGTTTGTTTTAAATAAGAAACTGAAATCTATAAATTCATGAAATCATAATATTAAGTGGATCTAAATTAATACTTATAAAATTGGACTGTATATGAAATAATGGATGATGAAGAAACAGGATATTTGGGTTTAATATTAGAAAATGAAATAAATCGCTAATTAGTATTATCACATAGATCTACTAATTTTGCATTATCTTTTTAGTAGAATATGTTAAAATAATCAGGAGCTTAATGTGATGTAATGTCAGTAGTTATTTGTACTTTTACAGGTCATTAAGCATTGGCATTCTAAGCTACAAAAATAGCAGTTGAAAGAGCTCAAGAAAAATAGTATTCTTTATCATTTTGTGGACATTCTTTAGGAGCTTGGCTATCAGAATTAAGTATTTATTATTGTCATTCTGAATTTGATCCATCTTATGAAAATGTAAAAGCAGTTACCTTTGATGGACCAGGTACATGGGAAATGATGTAATTAATGAGTGATTCTCATATTAAAGGATAAGGTTAGAGATTTTATCCAGAATAATTTGATATAACATTTTATTTATCAGCTCCAAATATTGTTAATTGCATGAATTCTCATATTGGAATTGGATATAGACTTTATCCAGAAGAAATACCTCTATCTGAATTTTCAGATAAAATTTAAAAAATATTTGAAACTTTAGGTGTAAGCAAAAACTTTTTAAATGGTTTAAGTGCTGTTTGGGGACATGATCTTAAATTTATTCTTCCATATTTTGACCCAAATACAGGCAAACCAAAACTTCAATATTATTCTAAGATTAACAAGTGGCCAAAAATTAAATATCATGATTCTGGAATATAAAACCTAAAAGGTTTAAGCAAAATAATCTTAGATTAATTTATTCCTAAATTCATTTAGAAAGGGATTAAACAAATTTTTTAAAAAGTACTTCCTTCAATTACTACAATAACAGCTTGTTCTATTTCAATTTTGATTTTTGAAATTATTAAGGGAAATATAGATTAAAAACAATTTTGGTCGGTTCATCAATTTTTATAAAGAACATAATAATATAAGCCACAGCTGAATGATTCTAATGATTTTAATTTATAGATGAAGGGTGCTTATTAAACAACAATTCCAAATGATTTTCAAAGAGATTTATAAAAAAATGGAAGTAATGACTTTATTGATTAATATCTCATTAATATAAAGAACAATTCTCACAAAATTGGTTAGTCATTTTGTAGCTAAGATTTGAAATATATTTTAAATCAACTTGTCAATACCTATAATTATAGTTAATTGAAATTCATCTAAATTAAAAATGAATTTTAGGCCAAATTAAATATCAATATATTAAGAGATCAAATTAGAATCTTAATTAGAGATTATTCAAATGATTTCCAAGAGTTTTTAGATGAAAATCCATATTAAGATGAGAGTAAAATAGATTGTTACTTTGGTAGACTATTTAATTATGATGCTCATAATGCTGTTGAAAGAAAAACTTTAACAGAAATAGAAGCTGCATTCAAAAAATCAAATATTGTTGTAATTATTGGACCACGAAAATTTGGAAAAACAACATTAGCTTACTAATATGCAAAAAAACTTAAAGATTAATTTAACATAAAAGTTTGGCCATTTAATGCTTCAAATTAATCAAATCTACATTAAGATTTTCTATTCTATCATAAATAATTATATTAATAACAGTTATTAACCTAAACTCAAAAATTTACAATTTTATAAACTGAAGTTTTGGCTAAAATAAAAAATATATATTAAGATTTTGTTATCATCATTGATAATGTAGAAAATCTTAATATGATATAATCACTAATTAATGAAACACCAAAACATATAAAAATAATAATAACAGCTGTTAATTGTTAAATTTTTAGTAAAAGTTTGTATTAAATAGTCAACATTTCTTCAATGACTGAATAGGAAAGTCTTAATTATATTAATAAAATCTTAAAAAATAGGCAATTAAGTGATGATGATAAGAAAGAAATAATCAATTTATCCAATGGAATGCCTTAATCTCTAAAATTATTAGTAGGCCAATTTATTAATAATGAAAATTCTCTAGAAATTACATAGAATATTAAGGTATAAGCAGTAAAATAATTCTAATAAAATAATAATTACAGTCCAATTGTTGAAATTCTTATGGATCTTTAAGATGATTTAGCTAAAAAAATATTAAAATACATTTCATGGTTATATCCAGATAAAATTGAATTGGATTTGATATTATAATTAATGAAAAATACAGAATGTAGTAAAGATGCAATAACTACAAGTCTAAGGATGCTTGCAGATTTAGGATTAATAAATATCTAAAGACAACACTTTATATAGATTGATGATGCTATCTAAGAGGAATGCATAAGACAAGAATTATCTTTATAATATTTATCAGATTCTCTATAATATTTTTTTGATATTTTACCTGATATTGAAACAGAAAAACATACAGATGATGCATTAAAAATTGCATAGAATAATCATCTTCACGCTAGAAATATAATAAATCTTATTATATAAAAATAGTTATTTTAACAATTAGAAGATTATTTTCCTAAATTATTTTATTATGCAATAACCATTATTTTAAAATTAAGCGTTATATATTAATACTTAATTTAAGATTATTAATCTTGTTAAGAATATTTAGATCTTTTTGGTTCATTATAATTTGGTAAGAATATAAAAAATTCAAAAAATCTTCAAGCACTCTCTATATATGTTATCAATTAAATTAAGTTATTGTTGGCTATGGGTTAAAAAGAAGAAGCACTTAAAAGCAATCTTCTTGATATTATCATTTAAACTGGAACTTTTAATTAAACTCCTTCTATTTTAGCAGATGCATATTATTCCTTAGGGATTATATATTAATAAAATGAATAATACGATCTATCAAATGAATATTTAGAGAAATCAAAGATTATAAATGTAGATTTACATGGTATTGAAGATATAAGAATCCCAAAATTAATTACATTATAAGCTGAAAACTTTTAAATGTAAAAAAATTATCCTAGAGCAATAATTTTCTATAAATAGGCTTTAGAATAAGTAGAAAAAAATTAAATGAATAAGAGCTTAAGAGAGACTTACATAGTAAGAGCTAAATTATATTATTAATTAGGGAAAATATCCTTTTTAACTAATTAAAATGCTTAATAAAGTTTGGATTATTTTCGTTAAGCTATTAAAATTTGGAAAGAAAAACTCAATAATTAATCAATCGAAGTTGCAGATTTTACACTTAATCTTGGGCTATCATTAAAACATTTGAAATAATATTCTGAATCTCTTGAAGCTTTAACAACAGCATATGAAATAAAAAGTTAAATTTTAAAGAAGGGCTAAAATCCTTAAATTGCTCAAATTTGTTATGAAAAAGGTCTTGTTTTAATAGAAATGAGTAATATCTAATAAGCAGAAGATGAATTAAAAAATGCCTAAAATATTATGTTACACTCAGATGATTTTGAATTTAAATCAAAAATTGAATTTTAGCTAGCATATTTATGGAAACAAAAAAAGGAAGACTTTAAATATATACAAGCCTTAGGAAAATTAATTCAAAAAACTAGAAGTTATTATTCTTTTATTCATCCTTCATTAAATATCTATTTAAAGGATTTAGCTGATGCTTATGCAAATTATTTTGAAGATTATGCTAAATAAACAGAAATCTATCAGCAACTCTTCTTTATGACTATTTTACATGAAATTCTTACCTAAACTTATCAAAAAAAAAACCTTATAACAGGTTTAATGGAAAGTAAAACCTTTTAGGTTCAAGATAGTTGTAAATACATCAGTTGGTTATAAAATGAAATAACTCATTTTTAAATAATAAAAAAATTTAATCAAAAATTTTTTGATGAAGAATAAAAACGCACATTGATTTTAAAGAGTGGAATAATTTCAAAGGAAGAGTTTTAAATTAAAAAACTTCTTCAAACTTCTACTCTTAATTATTTAAGAGAGTATGCTTCTGTAGGAAAGTGGAAAGGAGGTTACACTGGATTAATTCTATATGGAGCTAAAGATTACATAACTATGAAATATTTAAAAAATATATTAGGAGATTTATTTAATGAAGTTTAGAATCAAAAAATAGCTTTAATGCTCTGTTTTGAAGCTATTAATATTGGTATAGTTTAATCAAATTTCTAACATTTAGATTTTGCATAAAAATTTATGGAAACAGTCCTTTAATATCCTAACATGAATAATTTTTTAGATGACGTTATTACAAGTCATCCTGAATATTTTATTGATGGAAAAATCCTAAAATCTTTAACAAATCACTAAAAATACTTAAGAGAAAATTTGGGAATTGTTGAGAAATAAATTTTATTAAGTTAATCTATTTCTTAGTAAGTGATTAGTAAAGTTTAAGGCAAACTAAAAATCAATACAGAAATTGAATAATTAATAAAATAATGAAATAAGATCATTTATTCATCACAATAATTAATTATTTTTATTTATTTTTGAATTGAAAACTGACTTTACGAAAATGTTTACAAACTGTTTTAATAATGTATATATTATTATTTTTTGTATTTAAATTAAATTTATAATAAAATTTTTTGAGATCTATCAGTAACTCATCACTAATAAAAGTTTTCTAATTAAACATGTTAGTATATCTTTATGAGGGTTCTGTCTTCTAATCTTTAAATAAATTTGATTCTATCAAAAAAGAAATAGTTGATTGTTTCTCTAAAATCAACTGGAAAATACAAGAAAAATTCGGATTAATGAATCTTAAATTTGATTACTTTTATGTCTTTATTTATTGTAGGAATTCTCAATTTTATCCTTTTTATGATAATTGTAAGAAAGAGATATTAACTTATTTTTTTTTTAACTCTGAAAAAACCAGGATCAAAAGCTCTTAATATCCTTGAAATAAGAAGTAAATCATATGTAATTTCATACCTAAATTGGAAAAGAGGGACCATAAATCTTAAGATTAATATTAAAAATCATCATTTAATTATAAGTGTATTCTTATAAACAATTCCTTTTTAAATACTTTTTTCCATAAAATTAGCACCAAATGCTATCAATGTTAATTATTATTTAAATCAAGGTGAAAGATAAGGCAATAAAATAATTAATTTCTTTTATGACAAAAACTTTCTTTTTTAAAATTTGGTTGTATCATTTATCTTATAACAGTTTAATTTTTAATTGTTTATTTTTAACAATATTATTATATATGCTTCAAAAGCAGGTGGTAAATCTGGATCTAAGCATAATTAGGTTGAGAACTTCTGAGCATTAATATATTGTGGTTAATTTGTTATAATTTAGAAAATAGTGATAAATTAGGAGAATTCCAAAAGTTGCCAACTTGTCTGATTTCTATTTTTAAGTTTTTTTTACTTTATCAAAATTTTGATAATTAAATTGATAATAAATTTCTATAAATGTAGGTTAAAAAAAAAAATTTGATTTTTTTTTTATTTAAGTCTTTTTTGAATTTTTGTGGATAGTAAAAAAGTGTAACAGATACTATAAACCAATAATCACACTTATAATTAACTAAGCATTTTTTCTGTTTTAATCTACATTTGTAAACCAATACAAGAATTGCAACTAATATTTTTTAATTTATTATTTAATTTAAAAATGAAAAATATAATGAATTTAAGAGAATGGAATTTAAGATAACTAAAGTTTAATTATTTTGCTGTGTGTCAATATCAATCCTTTTTGCCAATTTGAATTAGTTGTGTAGATTTAATAAAAACGACAATTTTAACTTATAGATTAGAATAGAAGTAATTTTATATAAATTGGCTAATTACCTCTTTGTTAAAAATATTATTATTTATAATTTATTTTTATGCATCTTAAAGAGATTTTTTAAATAAAAATTTTGAAAAAATTTTTGGAAATTGCTAGAAGTTGTTTCTTTAAAATTTTTCCATTTGAACTGTGCCAAAATTCTATGTCTATTCTGATAAAATTGATTTGAATTTTTAGAGATAATTAAAGATAAATCAACTCTTTATTTAGGACAAGTGTTACATTTTAATTCTTAATTTTAGCTCTTACCCTATGTATCTATTTTAAGATAATGATATCTGTTTTAAATATAACTATTTCTGATAAGCTTTTCCTTTTCGCCTATCTCACATTCTTTATTTTTTTTTTTCTATGCAAAATTATAAATGATTTTCTTAATATTTTTGCTACCTTTCAATTAATTTAGTTCTTTTTTGTTTTTTTGATTCTTTGAAAAAATGTTAAATATATAAATTATTAAAATAAAAGACAAAAATCAATTAGATAGAGATTAAAGAATCATTTCTTTTAAAAATTCAATATCAATACTGAAGAAGTTATTTATCATTGTTGATGTTTTTCTTTGAAATAGACTAATATATATTTATAATAACACTGACAAGATTTATGTATCTCTACATCAAAGTCTGGGTAAAAATGTATTAATAAGGTTTCAAAGTCTGTTTTTAATCTTCATAAATGATGTGTCTATATTAAGTAGATAGATATAAATGTATTAATTTTTATAATTTATCAATTTAAAAATATCAACATAAATAAATCAGATATGTTTTTTTATCATCTCTTTTTGATTAGGCAAACTCATAATTATTATTCTTATTAATTTCAAAATAAAACACCTAACTGATATAAACACATATAAGTGAAAAAGATCTTCAAGGAAAAAATTCTAAATTTTTTAAATTTAAATTTTTAAAGAAATATCGAATTTTATCTCTCTAACAATTCATAAGGCTTAAAATATTATAAGAAGCAATTTCTTATTCACTTAACTATTATATTTTTATAATCTTAATATTTTTTCTAATTTATAAGAAAAGAATAAATGTTTATTGATGGGAAAACCCTTCATTTTAAAATTATCGATCAATGAATCTCATTAAGTTCCAAGAGATTTCTTGTAATTAATCACATTTTTACAGAAAAATTGATATTATACTCGAAAAACAAGGACAAATTCGAAAATGTAAAAATTAAAATTTTTAAGGTTTACTTACAAAATAAAACACAAATATATTTAAATTATATTAACAATTTATCTGTTTATATATGAATTTTCAATTGTTTAAATCAATTTACAATAACTATGAAGAAAAATTTTGCTTTATATAAAATTTGTAATAATAAGCAATATTGAATATCTATGAGCATAATGGACAAATTATTATAAGATTTTATCGAAATAGTAAAAAAAATAATATATAGAAATTCAATTCTAGTATTTGAAAGAAATTGCAAAGTTTATTTTAGATTAATACTACTAAGTAAATTTTCATTGATTAATTTTCAGAAATGAATATCTTTGATTGATTTTATCTTAATAGTTTGGTAAGCTTTTATTAAATCTGAGATTAAAGTTACTTTTAGATCATCTGCATTTCGATTTGAGATTGATTCATTTACTATGTTATCTTCAGAATTTTCTAAATCTCTTAAAATATTAAATTAATAAGTTTCTGAAAGAGAAGGTTTTATTTAAGCATAATTTAATGATAGCATTTATTTGAATAATTCTTCTATATAATTATAATCTGGTAAAGAAGAATGGTTCAAATTATCAATATATTGTTGGAAGTGATAGAATTATGGAGGAAATTATTATGAAAGCAAAGAAGTTTTATAACTTTAATCTTTTATAGCTCCAATTTTCTTTATATCCATTAAATAAAATGCCATTTACTGATAGTATTGCCAAGGTAATTTTTCTAAAATAAAAAAAATACTTACTATTTCTTAAATAAGCTAATACATAAAGTAAACTCTCTAAATCATCTTTATAACCAAGTTATTCTCTTCTATGTGATTATCGACTTGCAAACCTTAACGAACCTATAAAAGTTTGTTTTAAGAATATAGTATTTCTTATATTTTAAGATAATCCAAAATCGATTAGATTTACGTTTCCAGAAATTAAAATTTATTCTGTAGAATTGATTATTGAATTTGAAGTGACCATAATGTTTTCTGGCTTTATATCAAGATGTAATATTCCTTTATTATGAACTTCCCTCATAATTCGTATTACACTTAAACCAATAGCTATTATGCTCCATAGAGATAGTTTCTCTGACTTTCCTAAATCCTGAAGACTGCAATTTAGCAATGGAATAATTAGAAAATTCCTAACTTAAATATTAAAATTACTTTAAATCATTAGTCTTTCCAATTTCAATTATTTTTGGTATTCCATCTATTCCTTAAAGCTATTAAAGGATCTAAATTTCATTTTCTAATTAACCAATCCCTGATTTTTTTTCTATTTTTATAGCACAAATATTTTAAGTCTTATTATGCTATCCTTTAAAGACATAATGATCTGAACCTGATCCAAGATTCTAAATTATTTTATATTCTGAATTTTTAAGATACATTTATACTTACAAAAAATATTAGAAAATTTTAGGAAACAAATTTGGTTTCGAATTAAATAATAATAGGAAACAATTTAGGGGGGTCTTATAAGTATAATATTCATTAAATTAAATTTAATTATTATTCCTAAATATTAAATCTTAATTAAAATTTGTTTACCCTTATTTTCAATTTAGATTGACTATTTTTATTGTTTAAATCTTTTTATTTAATTGTTGTCAATTTTATTATTTTAATTTTTAAAATTCTTGATTTAAATTTTTACTTAAATTATATCATATTTAATCAATTTGTTACATATTCTTTTTTAATTGAAATATATGAGGTTTATGAAATAAAAATTTTTATTTTCAAAATATTTTTGAAAGACCAACAAAATACTAACAAAAATACTATTTTATCTTCAAATTCATTTTCAAACATAAAATTAATTTATTTATTTATTATATCTGGAGTAGGAAAAGTAAAATCAATGTATTATACACATATTTATGTTAATTAACTTAAGTTTTGATTAGATTAATTTCTGTTTGAAAAATCATATAGCAATATTTTATTCATTTTATCTTTAAAGGTTGAGATTGAAAATCAAATTGGTTAACTTTAGCTAACTAAAATAATTTGATTATAATTCAAATGATATTATGCCTTCTATTTTATATTATGAGATAGTCAATAAATTATTCATTTATTTTTTGGTTGCCAAGATATTTTCCTTTGATTTATAACATTGAAAGTAGAGACTAGGAAATTAAATATTATTTGGGAAGAATACTAACTGGTCAAAGGATAATATGTGTAATTTTATTTGATATATAAATTAAAATATGATAAATATACATTTAATAAATAAATTTAGAATGAAAAAGATTTTCTATATTTTTAATTGAAAAATTAATACGGGAAACTCTAAACCTGTTTACAATTTCTATAACTCTGAGGAGTCTAATTATTTTAAATTTCATACTGTTAATCATGATAACATTATTTTTAAATAGTAGATATATTTACTAAAGAAATTCATGCATAAGAGATTTTACGAAGACCAGAAGACAATATTGAAAAATAACCGAAAATGAGTAGAAAAAGTATGGCTTTGAATTGCATCATAAGGCTTTTAAAATTTTTTTATTATTAAAATTGGTTTCGGGATGATAAAGCATTTAGTTTTTGAAATAGTAGAAGTATCAAACTCATTTATTTCTGGCTTTGGTTTTTCCCTCTAATTAATGATAAAATTATTAATTATTTTCTAAAGAATCTAGATAAAAATAGTTTGCATTCTGATTTTAAGGAATTATTTTTCTAGACTTTTTACATAAAATAACAGTGATCATTAATAAAGAATAATAATTAAGTATGATGAAGATGATGAATTCAAATATAAAACCTTTTACCTTTAAATTGAAGAAGCGAAATAGATGTAAATAAATTATGAATATCAATTAAAGTAAGCTCATAAAATACTAGGAGAATATTTTGAAAAGGTAATTTTAAATTTTAACTTTTAATTATAAAGTTATTTTCGAAATGTTTTGAATTGATAAATTAAAAACCCAAAATTCAAGTAATTTTAGAATAATAATAAATTTCGAAATTTGTATATGATTTAAAGAATTTAAAAAAAAATCCAATTTTTATAAAAGTTTTTGTAATTTATTATTTAGAGAATTTAAAACAATTCATCTCTAATTCTTATATTTATAAAAAGAAAATGAATATGGAAATTGATTTATTAAAATATAAATCAATATTCTAGTTTAAGTAAATAATGATTCATTAAGTTATTTGAAATAATATTGAAATAAATTANGTAATTTTATTTGATATATAAATTAAAATATGATAAATATACATTTAATAAATAAATTTAGAATGAAAAAGATTTTCTATATTTTTAATTGAAAAATTAATACGGGAAACTCTAAACCTGTTTACAATTTCTATAACTCTGAGGAGTCTAATTATTTTAAATTTCATACTGTTAATCATGATAACATTATTTTTAAATAGTAGATATATTTACTAAAGAAATTCATGCATAAGAGATTTTACGAAGACCAGAAGACAATATTGAAAAATAACCGAAAATGAGTAGAAAAAGTATGGCTTTGAATTGCATCATAAGGCTTTTAAAATTTTTTTATTATTAAAATTGGTTTCGGGATGATAAAGCATTTAGTTTTTGAAATAGTAGAAGTATCAAACTCATTTATTTCTGGCTTTGGTTTTTCCCTCTAATTAATGATAAAATTATTAATTATTTTCTAAAGAATCTAGATAAAAATAGTTTGCATTCTGATTTTAAGGAATTATTTTTCTAGACTTTTTACATAAAATAACAGTGATCATTAATAAAGAATAATAATTAAGTATGATGAAGATGATGAATTCAAATATAAAACCTTTTACCTTTAAATTGAAGAAGCGAAATAGATGTAAATAAATTATGAATATCAATTAAAGTAAGCTCATAAAATACTAGGAGAATATTTTGAAAAGGTAATTTTAAATTTTAACTTTTAATTATAAAGTTATTTTCGAAATGTTTTGAATTGATAAATTAAAAACCCAAAATTCAAGTAATTTTAGAATAATAATAAATTTCGAAATTTGTATATGATTTAAAGAATTTAAAAAAAAATCCAATTTTTATAAAAGTTTTTGTAATTTATTATTTAGAGAATTTAAAACAATTCATCTCTAATTCTTATATTTATAAAAAGAAAATGAATATGGAAATTGATTTATTAAAATATAAATCAATATTCTAGTTTAAGTAAATAATGATTCATTAAGTTATTTGAAATAATATTGAAATAAATTAAAGAAAAAATATTTTATAGTTTTTAGATAATTTTCTTATTCAAATTTTATCATATAAGACTTATATAATGAGTTTATATAAAAAATTGATAATAATTAAAAATCGTATCATTAAATAATAAATGAAATCAAATCAAGATCAAGATATAATAATAGAAGAATTAATAGAGGTAGATGGAAAATAAAGTTATTGGAATGGATAATTTTTCTTATAACGAACAATTTATTTATATCAGATAATATAAGGAATTGAAATATATATTAAAGATGGGCTAGTGGTGAAAAAGTATAAATTTAAGATATACAGATAAAAAGTAATGGATCCATTTTGTAAATCTTAAATTAATCTAAATTTTCCTTAGGTAAAATATTTAATTTGGGATGGAAAATATGGAGATAAGAATTAAAAAGTAGGTTAATGGAAGGCATTTTGGAAAAGTAATTAATTAAAAGTAGGTGGATTGTATGATGATAATGGATTAAAATAAGGAAATTGGATAGATATTGGATAAGAATATTGGGAGTAAGTTTGAATATAAAATAGTGAATGTAAAATAACATATTAAGGATTTTATAAAGATGGAATTAAGATAGGGAAATGGGATATAGTATAAGAAAATTAAATTTGGTATATAGTATAGTATATTATTGCTAAAGTGGTGGAGGATAATATGCTGAGAATAATTAGTAAAAAATAGGAAATTGGGTAGAATTATATGATAACTATTGGAAGTAATACTGTTAATAAATATATTTAGTTAATGTTAAATCACTTAAGTAGGAGAATATAAGAATGGAAAAAGGATTGGAAGATGGGATTATAAAATAGAAAATAATATTATGTAAATATAATTATCAAAATTGAAGTGGAGGTGGGGTTTATGATCATGAAAATTTTGTTAAATTAGGAAAATGGATAGAATTATATTCAGATTTTACTAAGTTTGAAAATATTATAAAAATAAAGTTATTGTTAATTGATTTAGAAAGGAGAATATGAAAATGGAATAAAATGTGGTGAATGGGAAATTTTATTTAGAGAATATTCTAATGATGAATTCAAAATAATGTATTATTTTTCATTAAATTATTTTTAGAGGATTAGAAATTTATAATTAAGACTAGAATTAAGAAATTTAAAAAATAGAATTACATAAGAATTTTAACTAGTAAATATATTTGAATTATAAATAAGATGGTGTTAAATATTGTTTAAAGGTACAATAAAAAAAGAAAAAAGATTTGGAAAGTGGGAAACTTTTTATAGATATAGTTCAAATCATTAATTTTAAAAAATGTTAATTAGTTATATATTATCAGAGGAGGAGGATTTTATGATATTTAAAATGGAAAGAAACATGGTAAATGGATTGAAGTATATGAACATTTTAAAACAGAGTAAAATTATTATAATTTTAATTTTTAAGTTTATGTGAAGTTGTTTATATAGGAGAATATATAAATGGAAGAAAAATAGGAAGATGGGATATATAATTTAGAGTAGATTCTGATAAAGAATTCGAAATTATGTATCAATTATAAATTATATATTAGAGGAGGTGGATTATATGATGATTTGAATGGTAAGAAATAAGGTGAATGGATTGATTTATTTGAAAATTTTAATAGAGAGTATTATTTTAAATTTTAAAGTTAGTTGGTGTTAAATTAAATATAAAGGAATGTATAATAATGGAATAAAATATGGAAATTGGAATATCTATTTTAGAACTGATTTTAGTGAAGATTTTGAACTCATGTATTGTTTGTTTTTATTATTTACTTTTAGTGGAGGTGGTAATTATAATCATTTAAATGGTTTAAAACATGGAAAGTGGTTAGATTAACATCCAAATTTTAATTGGTATTATCTAATTATATATTAGTCATTATTAAATAATGTTAAAAGGAATTTATAATAATGGAGAATAATAGGGTAGTTTCACATAAATTCAATTAGAATGATTATTATTATCATAAGTAATATTATATCAATAAGTTATAAAATTTATTAATTAAGATTTTATTTATATTAAACTAACTTGAGCAATTTTATATTATCAATATTTTTGATTAATTATTAAACTTTTTTAAGATATTTTAGGAAAATGATAACTTTATTTTTAAAATAATAAAACTAAAAGAAATTGATTAGCTATTTTTGTTTTTTTATGTTCTGTATGGATAGACTGTATTCTCTATTTAACAATAAATTTATTGATAAAGTTTTAATTAACATTCATTTAACTTTTAAATCAAATCATGAAATTTTAAACCATAAAATTACTTAATCTTAATAAATTATTGATCCATTTTTAATATTAGAATTCCAATTTCACAATATAATAAAAAACTAAGATATCTAGGATATATTTCTTAAAAATATTGAGAAAATAGCTGTTAAAGTTATTAATTTTAATTTAAACTTTACTTATTATCAAAAAAATTAAACAATAAATTAATTTAGATTATTTCAAAAATATCATATTAAATTTTCATAGTTCATTTAAACAAGTGAAAATACAAATTTAATTTTTAATCACTGAGTTTTACTCAAGTAAAGACTTAGTGCGATTTTATGCATAGATGAAAACTGTAAAATTTTTGATTTACAATTACTGAAATCTTTCATTATATGATGTGTTTTGTTAGAGCTTGCTGTTTGAAAAAATTCCAATTTAAATAAGTAAATGAATATAAAAAAATTAGATGGAATTTAAGTACTTATGTTTAAAAAAAAAGATTTTTGAAAAATTATAAAATTAAATTATTTTTATAAAAATTATTAATATTACGGAAAATCATAAAATAAGGAGGAAGATGAAAATTACAAAATATTCCTATATTAATTGTTCTATAAAATTAAAAGATTAAAAATTTTATGCGAGAAATATGAAAAATACTTGATAAAACAACTTTATTTTCATTTATCGCTCGAATTTTGATTAGATATAGGAAAATTCGATAATAATTTAATCTCTGTAAGTTATTTATATGATCTAAATATTTTTTTTTTAATTACATGGCTTTGAAGATAAAAGAATCAAAACTTTTTGAATTATAAGTTTTGGAATTAATCCAATGACTAAAAATTTTTTCATTTTTCTAAGTTTGAAGGAAGATATTTGTTGTTTATTGGGAATTAGAAGAGCCTGAAAAAGTTACTTTTTCTAAATTTTACTATTTAAATGAGATTATCTCACTTAAACTATTAGATTTAAAATAATCTATATATGATTAATAATCAATTCCTAGAGCTTATGCAAATTGATTTATAATTTTTAATGCATTTTTCTTTTCTTCCAATAATACATATTTAAAAGGATTTTTTTGATATTATTATTATAAATCAAGATAAATTCCATTAGAGAGATTCAATTATAAAATAATTTTATTTCTGGAAACAGTAATCATTGGATGTTTAAGGTTATTCTTAAAATGTTCATTTACAGCTTTAAATGAATATAGTAAATTAACTAGATTCTATAAATCTTCATAAATATAATATTAAATTTATTCTAATTCTCGATAATAAGCTAAGTTTTTTTCAATAGAATCAATATTACTATTAGAAATTGATTCAATCGAATCTGTCATTTAAGTTTCTATTGTACTCTTTTCTAGATCAGTGCTACATTCAGACATTTCAGTATTAATAATATTTTAAAGTATTTAACTACATTTTGTATAATCATTAAAATTCTTAAACTGCTCTAATTTTGAATTTATTTTTATGCTTAATGATAAATTAATCTTAGTAATTTCTTAAATAAACAATGATTCATCAATATTCTCATTTCTTTCATTTTTTATTAATTTATCTAGTTCTTAAACAAGATTATAATTTTTATGAAATTTTCTAATTTAATCAAAGTTTTTTATCCATTCACATGTATTTTCAATTAATTAATCAAATTCTTAATTAACAAATGATTTTAACTAATGTAGATTCTTCTACAAAAGTTCAACTTATCTAATATTAGGTTAAATAACATTTTCTAATATTTCGTTTTTTTTAATTTGTTTTTCTTCAACCATTTATTATGCTTTTTTGAATGTTACCATCTTTGTGATTCTATCAAAATCTTCCATACATTTTAAACATAAAATTCTTTCATTTTGAGATAACTTAGGATCAAATATTACCATATAAGGAGGTAAGTTATGATTGTAAATACATTAAAAATCTTTTGCTTATTCAGCTGCTTCATGTTTAATCATATCCATTGAAAAAATTTACAAATATATTAAAATAAAATTATTTAATCTTCATCTAAACTTTTAAAAAAGAAAAAATATAAACATAATAATTATACTTATTTTTTCTAATGTTTTTTTCGTTAAATTATAAAAGAAATGAATAATGTTTTTTTAAAAACAAATCTTTGTGAATAAAAATAAGTCAATTAGATTAATAATTTTAAAAAATAGATTAGAAAGAATAATATCAATTTGAGTTCAACAATCACGGTTTTCACAATATATTTATACGTTTCTTTTCTGAAGTAAAATCAAAAAGTACAATAGATTTGTGAATGGAATTATATATATAAATAATAATATATTATTATGAAAATAATAATTACAATCTTATGTTTTTACTCAGGATACTCAGTAATTTATTATGACTCTGGCTTCTATGCAAATTTAGAACGAAGTGGTACTTATTTTGTTTGTCAGAACTCTTATTCAAACACATATACAATAGCGTTTTCTAATAGTTTTGTTAATATACCTTAAGTGTTTTTATTACTACAACATATTGATACACCTACTTTAGAATCAGAATTTCAAGTTTCAATATCAAGTATTACACTAAATAGTATAAATATTGAAAGAATATTTAGATTTTCAAATATATGTATTTTGTCCAAGACCTGGAGTGATATGGTCAATAAGATTTGAATGGATTGCTATTGATGATTAAAGAATTTAAGTGATTAATTCATTTAATATGATTCCACCAAGTGATAAGACTTTTAATCATTAATTACTTAATGCTGATGTTGCTATTCTAGCAATCAATACTCTGGGCTATTTGGGATAAATAGATTTCTAAATTTCTGTATATATATAAATAGTTATAAAGATTACATCACTCACAAAGGATAGTGTTTCTGTAGGAATAACAAAAGTAACTGGGAAATATACAAATTTATTATAAATAGGTTACCAAATTCTATTAGCTAGTTAAAAAGATATTATAGATCTTGGACTTCTTACTTTTATACCTGACTTTACTAAAGGAGGAATCAATTTAGAATCAAATAAAATATTTTTACTTCCATTTTAAGGTATAAAATTTAATTATGGACGTTAATAAACAATTAAGATATTAAAAACTATAGGAACTTCAACTGTTACTATTAATGCTAATAAATGTATCAAAATTTTAAATTATTATATTAGGGGGTGGTACATATGATGCTTCATAATATATTATTTAACAAGTATGGTTGTCTTATCAATTTTTTACTAATAAAGCATCATAATGTTATACAATGAGAATTAGTCAAAAGTTAGAACGTTCATCTAATTCACTTCCTTAATTTTATGTGGAAATACCAAATGCAAATCAAATTTATAACTCTATTGGAGAATCTACTTTCAGAGTATATAAACCTATTTTTAATATTGATTTTATTGTCAAAGCAAAATGTATTTATGGTAAAAGGATCAGATCATCATTTAATAAATGTAATGATTGTTCAATATCCAAAACTTATGAATTTAAACATTATTGCCATTCTTAAATTAATTTAGTAAGCTATTTTCCACAGTTTTAATAATCTCAAAATGTCAATCAAGAATTTAAAGTGAAAATTACAGAAAACACTTGTTAAATATATCAAATATTATACAATTAAGTTAAAGAAGAATACACAATTATCAATATCTATTTCTAGGATGTGTGAAACATGATATAAATATTATGATGTTTTTATACAAATTTATTAAATAATCCTAAATCAAATCTCTTTTGCTTAATTATGATCTAAACAGCCATAGTTAATTTAATTTCTTTGAGAATAATACGTTAAATAGTTCTCATTCAGTTTACTATATTTGGTAATAATTTTATTGGGAGAATATAATCTTATTATATTTAAAACTTTTGGTCTCATAAAATAATAACGTATTTTTAGACAAATTTTAAATTGATACTTATTAAAGGTGAATATGTATTATTAATACATTTTTAATACTATTAAATTTATTAATTCAAATGTTATCTTCATTTAAATTGCTTTTCATTTAATTATTTCTATTTAATTGATATCTTTATTTCTAAATCTATTTAATTGATATCGATATTTTTAAATTATGTTATGGAGATACTTAACTACATAATAATCAATTTATTACTTTCTAATTATTTATTGAAGAATTTATACATCAAAATCAAGAGAATAAACATAAATTATTTTTTCTTCTTAAGATTTACATTTGCAGTTAATTTATTCTACTAATTTTTTTATACTAAATTTAAAATCTTAAATAGAATTATGTATGATTGACAAATAAATTACAAAGATTATTAAATTATTTTAAATAAATTATCAAAAATGATGAGTTTAATAATAACATAAAATAATAATTTTAATCAATTTTTAATATATTTTCTTATTTAATTTGAATTGATGTTTTATCCAATGTAACTGGAGAATTACCTTTAAACTCAAAGTAATATAAATTAAAAATATATATTATTTTGCTTTATTATTTTAGGTATTTAAATTAAATGTAAAGCCACAATACAATAAAATATTTCTGTTTTAAAATTAATTGCTTTTTCTACATTAAATTAATAGTTGTGTCTTTATTCTTCATCAAAAGAGATTATATAAAGACTAAATAGATTTTTATTCATCAAAACTCATTATTAGTGATTATAAAACATCTGAAAATAATGTTGCAACCTTAATCTACTGACTCTGTAGCCATAAAGTATTCTTTAATTAATCCCAAATTTCATTATATATTTATATCTATAAATTGTCTTCTAAAGTATTTAAACTATAGATTAATTCATTATCAAATTATTTTCGTAGTTTCTTTAATTTATAAGGAAATTATGCTTTGCATTAATCAATTAAAATGTGTTTGAGGTTTCTAAATATAATGACAAATGATGATACTTATACAAATCACTTATGTTTCAATCTAAAAATATTTGAAAACTTATATTAACATGAATCCTAAAATAGATTAAACAAAATTTTAAATCTTAGTTCTAATTAAATTAAATATGGCCATTATTTATTTTTAAATATATAAAAATCATTTTCCAAATTTTATTTTTAATATATTTTTTGTTAAATAGACCTTAATTTTAAAGTGTTGATAAAAAATTATTTAGCATCTCATTTTAAATATTTCTAATTTACTCAATAATTAAAATTGTTGATATTATTCGCTCAATTAAAAAATTAGTATTCTCAGCATAAAAAAAATAAGTAAGACAATTGTATATTATAAAATAAATATAAAATAAGTAACTTAGAATCAACATGAATAAATACTTAAATGAAAATGTAAAATTCAATCAAAGGTAGATTGGACTAAGATATTATTAATTTATCTTTATAGGATCAAAATTATAAGGTTTCATAATAGCTATTATTTCTGAAATAGAAGAGTTTTAAATAAAATTTTATTATTAAGAAGTTTAAGTTAGAGATGTTAGAAATAATTCTCTAAAAAGTTTATAGAGCGAGTTTAATATAAACAAATTTCTTAAAATATAATTTAAATAATATCTTGTAATATAAAGGGAAAGTTCAACTAATTAAGTCAACAATTAAACAACTTTAGCAAATTTTGAATTTCATAATTATGTTTAATTATAAATGTAAAACAAATTTACAAATTTCTTTTATCCAATAATATTTATTATTTGTTAATCAACAATATGTATTATTTATTGTTATTTGCATATTTTAATAATTGACTTGTTTTAAGAATAAAAGATATAACTTTTTTATTTGATAAATTGAATAGTTAAAATAAGCTTTAAGAGATGAAAATAACTTTATAATTTTAGAAAATTAAAAATTTTATTATTAATTTGATAATTTGATGAAAATTAATTCATTTTTTTAATTTCAGTTAATTCATGTTTTTTTCTACATTTTAAGTTTATAGAACTTTTATTTGTTATGAGTTATGATATTTATGTAAATTTGATGGATTGACAATAGGATAATCAAAATTTAGATAATTCTATAAATTTCAATTTCATCATCATATTTTTCAACAACCCTGTTTAATATTCTTATAATTCCTAATGTAGTAAAGGGAATTAAAAAGGATGATATATAATTTTTGATAGATTTGATTTATTCAGATTTACTTAAATGGTATAAGGATTCAAGAACTTCTTAAACTGCCCATCCACTAATTGCATTTCTAAATGAGCAAAAACATAAACCTGGAAACATCAAAAAATATAAAACTAGAATTCTAGTTAAATATTAATAGTATTTAACAAGATTTCTTTGATCAAATATTTCTTGTGGCTTTATAAAAATAATTTCAAAGAGTTTTGCTACTGTTAATATTCTAACTAAATTTGAAATTGTAGTAATTTCTGTAAGTTCTAAACTGGTTTGGTACATCAAAAATATTATTACTTGAATCCAACCTAAAATTCTTAGAATATTGTAAACAAAGATGATCTCTATATTTAATTTCATTTAATTATTAATTGTTAGAAATCAAGCCATAAATAAAATATAAATATCTATCTTTTAGAATAAGAAATTAAAAATTAATTCTTTCCTTCTTCAAGATTGCTTGATTATTAATGTAATATTATTTTAATGTATATACATTTAAAAAGAACAAATTGAAGATTAAAAATCGAATAAATAAAGATAAGAAACATCTATAGTATATCAATTCCTTATAAATTATTATTTTGTAACAAACAATAAATATAAATTCGAAATAAAATGCTTTAAGCAATTTATTTTGTTTTATTATTTATTAAATTTTTTCTATGTTTTGCTTCTAATTTTTAAAAAACATACTTGACAGTTAAAACTAAAAAATTAATGTTTTCTGTTGGTTGTTCAGGACTAAGAATAAGACTTTTATTAAATTAAATAATAATGATTTAATTTGTAATAAGATAAAATTCACATCTTATTAGAAAGATATTAATATTATAAATAAAAAATGATCATAAAATGGTTATATTAATCAATTACAAGTATTTCTAATTAGATTGATTTTACATAATAGATATTTTTATTATGTTACAACCAATTTGAAATACAATCAGAGTGAAATATATGATGACCAAAACAATTTAATCAAATAATATTTTTAGTTTATTTATGGTATCGAATTTTTTTAAACAAATATTACAATCCTCTAATAATATTGATAATTTTAATTTTATTTTTTAATAAATATTATTAAGTTATTATGTTAATGAATTGAAAGTAATGTTTGATGAATTATTATCTTTATAACAAAGTATAGATTGTAAAAGTGGAGCATATTTGATTAACATAATAAAAATAATACAGCTTTTGCAACTATTAGATCTGCTAGTAAAAACCAATTCACTAATCAATAAAAAAATTTGAATGATATATTATCATGCGTGTTTTTTTCCCAAACACAATTTTTATAATTTACTGTTGAAAATAACAGAATTATGCATAGAAATTACAAAAATTTGATAATGTACCAAACAGTTTTTTTATTAGTCATAAAAAATTAGATTACAATTAACTTAGAATGTTATCTAAATCAAACATTAATAAATGAATTTAAAACCATGGCTTGTCTAGTTTCCAAAAGTAATTTAGAATATTATATCAATTATTTTATATATTTTTATATCTAATAAATGTTTTCTTATACTAATATCAAATATTATCTTATTATTATTCTTATTGTTATTCTAATTATTATTATTATTTTTATGGCTATTGTTATTGTTATTATTTGGAAATACTATTATCTTATGACATTATATCTAAAGCTGGATATATTTTATTTGATGTTATCGGATAGCCAGGGTAATTTTAAACACTATTATTTTCAATCTATACAGGAGTACGATAGAAAGAAAACTCAGAAGTTTAAAAAGTGTTGCTTTATTTATTGATTGGTGCAACTGTTTGTTGTTAATAAAACCCAGGATGTTGACGGACGATCCTCATCAAATAATTCTTTATTTTCATATATCTTATTTTCACTCTTTGTTATTATTCACTTCTATTTCTTAAAAGTCTACGCAATAAGAAATTTTAATTTTTTAAGAAAGGATATTTATTATTAATTTTATCTCTAAACTTGTCGAGTTTGTCTTAATGGTCTTCTATTTAAGCCCATAAGATTTCCCAAACAATAATAATAATAAAGATGGCATTAATAATAATTAAGAGAATATAAAATGGCCAGATAATTTCTTAGTTATCTGATTTATTGGCTTAATAAATGGTCATTCCTATAACAATAGATGTTCCACAAATCATAGTTTAGGCTTCATCTAATAGATTTAAATATGGCAATTTAAAAGGTCTAATTTACTTAGTTAATATTTTATAAATAAAAACAATCATAAATATTAATGAACCTTTAATAATAATAAAATCTTCATAAAAAGTTAAAAAAATGATCATCAATCCTTTCTAAAAAATTTTGATTATTTCCCAATAATATGCTTTATGTTAATATTCATTATATAAATAACCCCAATTTTTTCTTGTATTCTCTTTTTCTAATTAAAATCTTTAGAAATACAAACTAAGAAACATATAAATAGGAATGAAAATTGCTAAAATTAAAGTGGACGGAAGAACAAACCCTGTAACCCATTTAAAATGCTGTAAAGTGCTATATTAATAAGCAACATTTCCTTGAATCCAGTAAATATCAGAAATACGACGAAAAGATAATAATGATATGAATCCACCTAATAAGGTTGGTTATAAGTAGGTAAATAAATAAATGGCAGTAGTAGTAATAGCACTTTTATTTGATGAAGTAATATTTAGCACAACAGCTATAAAATATATAAGAGCAAATGCTAAAATGTAAAACAGAGGCATTATTAAAGCCCATATCATTCTAAAATATATAATATCTATATCTGTAAAAGTTGCTAAAAAGCAATCTAATGAATAACTCATGGCTTCAACAGGATTTCCAACTGATCTCATAGAAGATTGAAGAGCACTAGGCAATTCAAGTTAAAATAGAGTAACAGCACCTATAATTTAGAGATAATTTGTAAGAACTTTAATTAATACTCCTCCATATCCTGCTTTTTAATCATATTAATATGATTTAAATCTATTCAGTTTATATTATGCAACCATTTTTTCGACTCCTTAAATTGTGCCTCTTACAGATAAGAATATTGAAATCATTGTCCATAAACTAATTAAAATGATCTTGATAGTATTATCATCAACATCTTAACAACTACCACACTAATATTATGTTATAACCGAATATTGACCATATCCTCTTACATTATAAATATCACACTATTCACAAAGTGCTCCAATATGTGCATAATTACAAAGGTCATCTCCAGGATTCCAACCTCCAATACAATTTTCAGGTAGATTTATGCAATATTCAATAATCTCATTACTTTCTGATGGTCTCCAATATTCAGGCCTTAACTTTATTCTTGCTGGAGTAACATTTTCCATTTTAATTTAATCTTTTATTTTACATCGTTAACCTGCTATAATAGTGTATTAATCTTATGAAGACTCACATAATTTACATTTACCATCATCTGTCTTATATTCACCTCTTTAACATTAAAATGTTTGTAAATCTATCCATAATCTATAATTTGTAAAATAATTTTTCAATAAATATGGAGGATCTTCAAAAAATTATGGTATTTTTATTGAATCACACATTATTTCTAATTAAAGATATCCTTAATTATTTAAATCTGGATCAAATGTTATAATCAACTCATCCAAATTGTAATCTTGACTACTTGAGTTATAAATAATCTCTGTAAGACTAATATAATTTTAATTAAAATCCCCTTTTGTATTATTTATTACTTATCTCCCTCTTATACTGCATTTACTACCATATAATGCCTAAACTTAATCATTTTCTTTGTTTATTGGTAGTATTCTAAAAGTAAAATTATAAGGAATAAATTATTATTCTTTTTCATCAAAAATTTAATAATTCCCTATCGATTATCCACTTGGAATCATTATATAATCATGCTTAAAATCGCCAATATAATATTAAGTAACTTTTATCATATCTGTTATATTATTTAAATCTTAGACTACATTAAAAGTTTCAATTATATTTTATCTAACTTGTAATACTAATTTTATTGGTTAATCTGCAAGATTCCTTCCAAAAATGAATGCTTTATTATTTGAAAAGGTATTGTTCAAAATTTTTGGAGAATTCAGAGAGTAATTCCCAATGAAGATAGCTCCACCAATTTTTGCTTTATTGCTTGCAAAAATTGAATTAAAAATTAAAAATTATGAATTCATTTTGTAATCAAAATAAATACTTCCCCCTGAAATATTGGCAGTATTATTAGTAAATTAGCAATTGTTAATTAGACAACTAACTCCTGATATTATTAAGGCTCCTCCAAATGAAGCTTCATTGTTATAAAATTTACCTTCTTCAACTTTTATTGGAAAAATAGTTAATTCACTCAATTATGAAGTGTCTGCCAATAGCCTATTATTATTTACTTTATATGAAAACAATTTTATTGATTTCTTATCTTAACTACATAAAAGGATACAACCTAATAATCCACATTTATTATTGAACAAATTTAAATATTTAAATTAAATTAAATTTTAGTTTTAATTTCCTCCTTCTATGTTTGTTATTTAAAAAATTCCTCCATTACAACTTTGACAATTAATAGAATGTAACTTTAATTCATTAAAAAACAATTTATGATTACTTGAAACTGAATCAATTCCAATTATAAATTAAGAATTTTTTTTCACTTTTAAAATACTGTAAAAATTGTAATTTGATTGGACTTCTAATTACTTCGAATCATAAAATTCTTTAATTTCTTCAGGAGCCTTAGAATTTTTTAAACATTTATTGATTTTCACTTCTAATGAAGATAATAGTATTTCAGGATTGGATAAAGGTATTGGATATTCCTTAATTGATTCGAATTAGACATTGGTAAATTTAATGGAAGTCTCGTATTCTAAATTATTATTAGTAGAATATACTTGTATTTTAGTTAATATGAATCAAATTATCATTTATTAATGTTATAAATGATACAGTAACATTAGTCATTAAAATTTAATGAGCATTTTTAACATTCATAATTCCAAATTAAAAGATATTACTAAAATAAACATCTTCTAAAATTATTGTGCCGCCTTCAATTGATATTAAGAAGTTTTGGAAAGCATTTGAAATTTCTTTTTAACTTAATCCGCGTAGCTACCCATAAAATAAAAGATATCCTTATTCAGAATTAGAAATATAAGTTTTAATTATCTTAATATTAAGTATTAATGCCCTACTAGTGAATTAAATTGGTAGTTTTAGAAAAGGATGATAGAGAGAATAGATTTCTTATACAATATTCTAATTAAAAATTATTTCATTTTAATTTCTAGAAGGTTCAATAAAAATTACTCCTCCTTCTTTTCTACTTGAGCTTCCATAAATCAAACAATTAGTTAGTTAAAAATTTAACATAGATTAAGATGCATCTATAAATAATGTTCCACCTTATGATTTATCGTGAAACAATAAATTAGACTAACTTTAAATAAAATTTGAATTTTAAATTTTAACAATTCCATTTGAAACAGTAAATAAATAAAATGAACCACCTTGCAATGCCATTGAATTATTAGTCGTAATATTTAATAAATAAATTTCTTCAGCAGATAAGAATCCGTTTCCTCCTTTTGATTTTATTGGAAATTCATTTTATAAATGTTCAAAGAATATTTATTCATCTTCTAAATAACCCCAAATTAATTTATCTTTCAGATTTCCAAATTTCAAGATATTCTATTCATAAAATTCTGTATTTGATATCGTTAATGATCTGCTAAAAATAATTAAATTTGAACCAAGACTAGCTGTTGCAATATTTTCAGAAAAAACTGAATCTTTTATAGTTATAGTGAATACGGAGTGACTACTAGAATTGTCGAGGATGATCTAAGTTTTTGATCTTCTTAATAACAATGTAACATATTATTTTTAGCAATTATACCATTTAAATTTATAGTTTGTTCTTATTAAGAAACAATACTTAAAATAGCTACTTCTTCAGATAATCTTGTTGTAATTAAACTGTTGTTAAGATAAATATGATCAATAATACTAATAGATTCTTAGACTCTAAAGTTTGTTCTCTCTATAGATTTTATGATAATTAAAGGAGAATTTGTTGTAATTAAATTTTTCAATAGTGCCTTTTTAAATAGAAGTTTTTTAATATTGTAAAATAAAATAACGCTTCCATATCCATTTTCTATACTTGTATTTAAGCAAGATTATTATGAATGGATAGGCTTAAATAAATAACGAGTACTTAAAGTTATATTGAAAGTAGAAACTTCAACTAAATCTGCATTATTTATTGAAAACTCCGGTAAATTAAAGGAGCGAATAATCTGAGTATTTTTTAAGGTTAATCTTTTAGCATCTAAATAAATTGAGGCATTAGATGCAATTATTGGGCCATCAATTATTCCTAAAGTTTCAAATTAATTTGAATCTAAGTACAATTAATCAATTTCAATGTTCAAATTTTAAAAATTATTGCTGCTTATTAATTAGAAAAAGGCATTACTTCCTACATAAATATTTCTTGTAAAATAGATATTGTTTAAAATTAATGTATTTTCTAATATGTTATCAGCATATAAGGAATCTAAAATATTGGTGAGAACGCAATTATCAAAACTTAAGAAGGTATTGTTTGTGATATTTAAATAATATATCTTGAATAAAGGTAATTTAAATAAAGTTGCTTATTTATGATATTTTCCGTTCTTAATTATTGTGTTATTCATAATTACACTTAAAGCACCATTTAAGATAAAAAAGCTCGATTCACTTTATTAGTCAGATTCTGAAATAAAGTTTTAAATGATAATTTCAGATTGTCTAATTTAATTTAAAAAACTTGTATATATTAATTAAGAATGAGTATAATTATTATTTAAAGATTTTAAATTATTTATTTTTAATATCTGATTTCCATAGTTAGTATTTAAGATTTAAATTATAATATGTGTATTTAATAACTAAGAATTTTAAATAAAAAAGTCATTAATCGATATAACTAGTTATTGAACTAATTTTGGTTTAGTAAAAAAATAGCTTACAAATCCATTAATATTTACAAATTTTGTATTTTTCAAAGTTACTCGATTAAGATTTATTTCATTTGGGTTTTGTATGACAAATTGTAGTTATAAATTATCACCATTTATTACAATAAAATTATTTAAAGTGAATTTAATATCTTAAAGATTTTAGCAGAAAATCTGTACTGTTCCTAAATGTGAATCCAGAAGTATATTTTTTAAAGTGATTGAAGTAAATTCTTGAAACGTAACATTGTTTCCAAAATAAATTGGAATATCAAGAGAAGATTCTAATGTTAGTTCCAAATATTAAAGCATAAAAACATTTTTCCTTAATTTTGAATAAACAAATGCATTTTTCTCAATTTTGCATAGTCCAGAGTTTTATTTAATTTTTAGAATGTATCTCATTAATTTAACACTTTAATCATTAAATTATTCTATTAAGAGGTCAATTTCTTAATGAGAAAAATGGGATGAAGATTATGAAGAAAAAATTTCATTTAAACGAATGTTTTAATCTAAGAATTAAAATTGATCATTTTAATCTAAAAGCAAAGAATAATCTGAATAAAATTTCTCATCATCGCAATATACATTAAGAGATTTTTCTGCAAATTTATAACATGGTTGCTTTTCATCATTCAAACAATTCACTTCTAATCCTAAACTAGCATCATGATATATAAAACCATTAGCAGGAGGAATATTTGATTATTACAAACATTATTTAGCAAATCTTATTAATGATAAATTATCAGGGTCAAAATAAGGATTAATTTAATTAATTTCTTAACTTGTTAATTATTTACATACATCACAATAATTAGGACATAAAACACATTCACCATTAATATAAGTTTTAGACTCTTTGCATCTTAAACATTTATTTTAACCATTTTGGAATATACATTCTTCACAATTACAATCTTTATAACATTTACCATCATATAAAGCATCTTTACCTTTGCATTTTGTACATATTTATTCATACTTTGAGTTATCAGTCGAAACACAATACAAATTGTAATTATGGAAACTATAAAATAAATTGTTTCTGAACTGATAATATGGTATTATTTACCATTTCCATGCATCCTTATAAATTTGATGTTATAATAGGCATTCTTAACAATCATCTTAGCATAAGTAGCAAAGACCTGTAATAGAACTTGCATAGTATCCATTTTGACATTTCACACAAAACTCTTATGTTAAAACAAAATTTTTTATGCAGTCTATACAATGAGGGTCTGAACATTATAGTAAAGGATCATCGTACTGATAATTTATACAAAGTACAACGCTGCTAAAGTTATATAAAATTTGAGACGATGTATTAGAAAAATTAGATATCAGTATTTTAGTTGGTTCGCCATAAATTACTGTATACTTTGTTTCTAGACTAGACTTATCGGAAAATGCCAATTAATATGAATAATTTTCTGAAGCTAAGACTTTATTTCTGAGTTCTTCATTTAAATCTGGTAGTTTGCTTGTATCACTTGCATGAACACATTCATTTGAGGAAACCACGATTAATTTATTAACATATTTATCCTCACATAAAATACAAACTTAAAATGTATCTTAAGATGGTAAATTGGATTCAATATCGATTGTCGATCCATAAGGATAATCTAAATCTTTATCTGTAAAATTAGTGTGTTCATCATCAACATATTCTTCTGCTTGAATGACACAATTCTCTAAATTTTTTTTTCGACACATTTATCTATCTGCAGATCTGAAATATTATTTTTCATCAATACATTTTACACATTATAAATAAGGTATGTTTTNAAAACCATTAGCAGGAGGAATATTTGATTATTACAAACATTATTTAGCAAATCTTATTAATGATAAATTATCAGGGTCAAAATAAGGATTAATTTAATTAATTTCTTAACTTGTTAATTATTTACATACATCACAATAATTAGGACATAAAACACATTCACCATTAATATAAGTTTTAGACTCTTTGCATCTTAAACATTTATTTTAACCATTTTGGAATATACATTCTTCACAATTACAATCTTTATAACATTTACCATCATATAAAGCATCTTTACCTTTGCATTTTGTACATATTTATTCATACTTTGAGTTATCAGTCGAAACACAATACAAATTGTAATTATGGAAACTATAAAATAAATTGTTTCTGAACTGATAATATGGTATTATTTACCATTTCCATGCATCCTTATAAATTTGATGTTATAATAGGCATTCTTAACAATCATCTTAGCATAAGTAGCAAAGACCTGTAATAGAACTTGCATAGTATCCATTTTGACATTTCACACAAAACTCTTATGTTAAAACAAAATTTTTTATGCAGTCTATACAATGAGGGTCTGAACATTATAGTAAAGGATCATCGTACTGATAATTTATACAAAGTACAACGCTGCTAAAGTTATATAAAATTTGAGACGATGTATTAGAAAAATTAGATATCAGTATTTTAGTTGGTTCGCCATAAATTACTGTATACTTTGTTTCTAGACTAGACTTATCGGAAAATGCCAATTAATATGAATAATTTTCTGAAGCTAAGACTTTATTTCTGAGTTCTTCATTTAAATCTGGTAGTTTGCTTGTATCACTTGCATGAACACATTCATTTGAGGAAACCACGATTAATTTATTAACATATTTATCCTCACATAAAATACAAACTTAAAATGTATCTTAAGATGGTAAATTGGATTCAATATCGATTGTCGATCCATAAGGATAATCTAAATCTTTATCTGTAAAATTAGTGTGTTCATCATCAACATATTCTTCTGCTTGAATGACACAATTCTCTAAATTTTTTTTTCGACACATTTATCTATCTGCAGATCTGAAATATTATTTTTCATCAATACATTTTACACATTATAAATAAGGTATGTTTTAATTATAGATACACACAGAGCAATACTAACCACATTAAATGCATTATTCTATGGTTGAATTAAAAAAATAACCAGAAATGCAACTTTAACAATAGATTCCTGTCTCATTAAATTTACAATTAGGACAGTAGTGAGGGCATTAATAACAGTGACCATCAAACAAAGTAAAATTTTCGAAACATTTCTAACATTAAAAATAGGAATCACAACTAAAGCAGTTTTAATTAATATTAATGCATTAAGCATTAATTATAGAATAACAAGTTTTACATGCAAATCTGGATAACACATTCAATTAATAGTTTTCAATAAAATTAAAATTATCAAAGGTTTATTCCAAGCATCCTTAACAAAGTTCTACATTTGGTTTTTCAGAAACATCTAGTAAATTAATCAAATAGTATTGATAATCAATTAAATTGCGTGGTATTTCTAAAAAAACATAATCACTTTTATCTTATTACGGTTAAAAGTAATCACTTTTACAAATTGGATTTAAATACCAATGTTTTGGATCAGATATACATTCAACACAGTTCAAACTCCAAGAAGTATATTATCCAGGACATGGTAAACAATAATATTTACCTAAAAGGGATACGAAAAATTCTCCTAATTTACAGTCAGTTAAATCTATAAATTTAGCTTCTTATATTTCAATTTTAATTAATGATGCAATAGCTATTCTTTTAATAATAGATAATTACATTAACATCCTTTGTCCTTATTATCAATAAATCCTTCTTAACATTTACATTCCCCTTTAATAAAAGTTCTTGCTGAATTATCACATTCAAGACATTAGCTTTTTTCAGGTCCAAAGCAGTTTTTACAACTATAATGACAAACTGATATTAATAAAATTATTTACTTTTAGTTTTAAGAGTATCGATTCTGTAACAATATTAAATAGCTAAATTCCGAATTTCACCTCTAAAATTTTTATTAAATTTATCCCCACCAATTGTGAAATGTAGTGAAGATTTCTCAAAATGATTTTAGCTCATTTTAAATGTTTTCATTTATTGATTTGAACCAAAATAAATTGATAACTTAATATTATTTTATTCATCAACTCCTTCTTAATAGACAAACCAATGCCAAAAAGTAATGGCTTATTAATAATATTATCCTCTTACTACCCATGAATCACTATCAAGAGATTAATAAGTTGATAAAGGTTTTTAAGGATCATTATGATAGGTTGTAAAAGTAAATCCATTTTATTCATTATTTTAATTACTTTATAAATATTCCCAATATATAGCTTTATCCCCTTGATATAAATCATCAAAATATGTCTTTCTTAAGCTAGCTCTCATTAGAACTGATGTCACTGTTGATAACTAATTAATATATCCATATTTTACATTTTCTAACTCTTATAATTTCACCCAACCATAAATCATAAACTTTGAATCTAAATAAGATACTGAAATTTTCTTTTGGTCTCTAAAGAATTGTTTTCCTATTATTAATTCTCTTATTATTTGATTTGTACAATATTATTTTTAACAATTAGTATCTTCTATATTTTCTAAAAAAGTAGGGATATCTTCATAAAAATTAGATGACCCAATTCTTAAGTCCATATCTGTAATTTCCCCTGAAAATAAACTCAAATTAATCTCCTCCTCCTAAAATATTGAAATTTAATATTTTAATTATGATCTTCCACCCAATTAATAAATTTTTAATCCATCATTTTCAATCTAAAAAGGTCCTCCTGAAATCATCTAAACATTTTCTCTGGCTTCATTAATATAAAGAAATATATTATAAATTTAAGATGTTTGTGAATAACAAAAGTAGAAAAAAGTCCAATTCTCTTTAATTAATTATTAATCAACTTTCAATTCTCTAACCTAAATATTATTGTTCGAATAAATGAATAGTTAATGATATATAAATAACTCCTCTCTATCTAAAACTATAAAATAAACTAGTTAATTTTTTTTTTCTAATCTTTCTGATAGTACATGCATTTTATTTGTTTTTAATTTAAAATCCCCAATTTGCTCGTATATAGATGAATATTTTGTCCATACTCCCCATGAATAATCTTTATTTGCTTCATCAGAAAGATCTTAAAAGATCATTCTTGGTTCATTTTCAGGAGATGTTATTATATCAAAGACATCGCAAGAAGATTTTACAATTTCCAAGCTTTTGTAGTTTAAAGAAAGTTTACTTGTATGAGAAAATGCTTAAAGCCAGAACAGAAAACATTTAATATATCAAAAATTATAATACTTAATATTATCAAGAAAAAAATCTCCTTAAATTAACAACTCTCTATTTTAATTTCCATTTTTTGAAAAGATGGGTGGGGGGAAAAACAAGATTTGCAAAAAAAATTTTATAAAAGGAAAATATAATAAACACTGGAAGATTGCTAGGAGCAATATAAATACTGGAATTTTTCGTTTATTCAATAAAATAAAAATTTTTAATAGAAAATAAAAAAATAATATTCAACAATATACGGATAAAAATTTGATGAATTGAGTACATTCCTAATTCTTAAGTCCCATAATTACATTTGTTTACCTCTAAAATAAATATTAAAATTTTATACTTCATCTTAACAATAACTGATAATTTTTCTTTATTTTATCTTAAATTTTCATTTAAAATTCCTTGTATATTTGTATTTCACTTTCAGTTTATTAAATTTTCTAATTTTATATCAATTAAGTCAAATCTATTACAATTTTCTCATATTTCCAATTAAATAATAGTATCAGTTGTTGTCAAACTTAAGCTAGGTCAATTTTGTATCTATCCTTATCAAGGATATCACGCACATCATTTGGGATTACTAATTATATATATGATGAAAATTGAATTAGCCCTATTTAGCCGAGATGAGGGAATTTTATTTCTATTTTTAACTTTCTAATGGTTAAGGGTTGGGTAAAATTATTAGTGTTTTTATATATTCTTATGTATAGTCGAAATACATATTAAAAAAATTGAGAAGATTGGCCACTCTCGCATTTAGAACAATATTTAAAACTCAGGGTTTGAGCTTTAAATAAACAATATATTTGAAGGTAATGATTTATATAACTAATCAATTCCGATTATAAATTTTTTGTATCGAAAAACTTAATTTTTTTTAATGACAACTTTATGAGAGAATTTTATTAAATTTGGTATTGCCACTAAGTAGGTTTCTCTTAGCAGTCAATAGATGTAATCATGATGTTAAATCTGCTCTACAAATTATAGTGAAGATATTTGTATGAATAATTTTTTTTTTATATTTCTATGATATTATTTATTTTTTATTTTGATGTGAGAAAATTAAGGGGTTAAGACAGAAGTGAAGTTATTTTTTGTGTTATTTTGAATTTTTATGAGGATTTTTGTATTTTTGTTAAGTGAATTTTGTGAATTTTTTGTATTTTCAAAATAATTATTAAAAAAACCTGTTTCATTTTATTTTATGATCAGCAATTAAAACAATATTTGGAAGAATTTGAATTCCTGAACTAAAAAACTATTATCAACACAATTTTACCTCATATCTCATATAATCGAAATAGAATTTAGAATATATCACACCAAAACAACAAATAGACAATAAACTGCTAGTCATTATGATGATTTTAAATTTCGAAAAAATAAAGTTAAATAAAGATAAACTCAAAAATTGTAACAATGATACNTTTACCTCTAAAATAAATATTAAAATTTTATACTTCATCTTAACAATAACTGATAATTTTTCTTTATTTTATCTTAAATTTTCATTTAAAATTCCTTGTATATTTGTATTTCACTTTCAGTTTATTAAATTTTCTAATTTTATATCAATTAAGTCAAATCTATTACAATTTTCTCATATTTCCAATTAAATAATAGTATCAGTTGTTGTCAAACTTAAGCTAGGTCAATTTTGTATCTATCCTTATCAAGGATATCACGCACATCATTTGGGATTACTAATTATATATATGATGAAAATTGAATTAGCCCTATTTAGCCGAGATGAGGGAATTTTATTTCTATTTTTAACTTTCTAATGGTTAAGGGTTGGGTAAAATTATTAGTGTTTTTATATATTCTTATGTATAGTCGAAATACATATTAAAAAAATTGAGAAGATTGGCCACTCTCGCATTTAGAACAATATTTAAAACTCAGGGTTTGAGCTTTAAATAAACAATATATTTGAAGGTAATGATTTATATAACTAATCAATTCCGATTATAAATTTTTTGTATCGAAAAACTTAATTTTTTTTAATGACAACTTTATGAGAGAATTTTATTAAATTTGGTATTGCCACTAAGTAGGTTTCTCTTAGCAGTCAATAGATGTAATCATGATGTTAAATCTGCTCTACAAATTATAGTGAAGATATTTGTATGAATAATTTTTTTTTTATATTTCTATGATATTATTTATTTTTTATTTTGATGTGAGAAAATTAAGGGGTTAAGACAGAAGTGAAGTTATTTTTTGTGTTATTTTGAATTTTTATGAGGATTTTTGTATTTTTGTTAAGTGAATTTTGTGAATTTTTTGTATTTTCAAAATAATTATTAAAAAAACCTGTTTCATTTTATTTTATGATCAGCAATTAAAACAATATTTGGAAGAATTTGAATTCCTGAACTAAAAAACTATTATCAACACAATTTTACCTCATATCTCATATAATCGAAATAGAATTTAGAATATATCACACCAAAACAACAAATAGACAATAAACTGCTAGTCATTATGATGATTTTAAATTTCGAAAAAATAAAGTTAAATAAAGATAAACTCAAAAATTGTAACAATGATACTATTAGAAATTGAAGAACAATAAAATTATTTTGATTTATTTTATATAGATTATTAGAGAGTGTACATAGAATATGTTATAGGTATGTATTACCATATTTACAGTTGGAGAACAATAAAATGGATTAAATATAAATTGATGACAAGGATGATTAACCAAGTGCTATTTAGAATTCTTTATTCTTCTTTGTTACATGTTAATTGTAAATGGATGAGTCAGATACATTTAAATTTTCTTAGAGTTTTCAAATCCTTTCAAAATGGTGAAGGAGAATTATACCTTAATAAAGATGTTTTCAGTTTAATTCATTGAAAGATAAAAACAATAAAAGAAATATATAGCTGCAGTTGAAATTTACATCTCTATAAATTTTATGTAATGAAGTATTCCAAGAAAGAAAGAAAGATGAATTATGTTGATAAATTGAATATATTTAATTATCAATGAATTCTTAATTTTGCTGCATCTGGCTTAGTTTTTATCTTATTATTAGTTAAAATATTAATATTTTTAGATTAATTAAGTTTTTGTACTCATCATACTACAACGGCTTGGCTTTTAAACACATTCTTATTCATTAAGAGCAAAATTTCATTTAGTTATGTAGGTTTCACACTCTTTATTTAAGTGATGATCTATTTTTCAAGGAGCAGTAGAACATGATTTATCATAAAAAGTATTATTATTTGTTAACAAAATTAATTTAAATTATTATCTCTACATCTCCTTTATTATCTTTTGTGCATGAATCTATAGAAATACAACCTTCATTTCCTTCACTTGCAATTGTATAATGATATTAATTAATCAATACTAAATCCATTTAAGTAATCATCACATTCTTCTTAAGTATCACCACCAAAAGTATAAGATGCCTTAAAATAAGCTTTATCAAAATAAAATATGCTCCTTCAATCCACCTCAAATTGCAAGTTTACATGTGCATAGATAAATCTTGCATTAATTAATTTATTGTAGGATTGATTAATGGTCTATTTATATTTATGATGTAAGTAAACAAATCTTAGAAAAATATTTCAAACAAGTTTGCAGAAAAACTTATGCTAAATGTCCAATTTTACTAGGCGATTGCGGTTCTATTATTAGTAAAAGGAGCAATAAAATATTACTGAAATTATTGATAGATAAATTATTAAATAATACAAAATTAATTTATTTTAAACAATTTTAATATAATAGTAATAAATACTCTAGTAAATTATTCTTTTACGCTAATACTTAATTATCCTTATTTTAAAATACATTAGATATTAAATGAGTAAAATCTTAATCCCTTTTAACTTTAGTAAAAATATGCATACAATATTGCGGATTTTAGTATAATTTGAATTAATTTCATTATTATTTTATATTATATTCAACTCATTCTCTTAAAATCTCCTACAAAGTTGGAATGCCGTATGGCGGTAAAAATTAGTAATGCACTGCACTTAACAACTGCTTTACTCTTTTACTCTAATGTATTGGACTATTGTCTAGAATCAATAAATAATTATTTTCATCATAGAATCTGTTCAACTCTATAATTAAATAAAGTAAATGAGAATTATAAATCTCAGCTATTACATAGCCCTTTAATAATTAAAACCCCTCAAAACCTTTCATTCCAATTGCATCTAAGATACATAATTTCCCTTTCTATTCATTATTGTTTTCTATTTGATTTCTCACTTTATTTACCAGCATCTTTATTTTTTCTTTTAATGACTGAAAATAGTTTCATCTAAAAATACCAAATTCATTCCATTGGTGTTGTAATTTAAAAATTTGATGGTAAGATTTAAATTATTAAATTTATTTAAATAAGAAGATTTATATATATATTTCTTTTATAGATATCAATTAATAACAAATCTCAAATCAAAAATAAAATCTAAAATTAAATTACTAGTCTTTAATGCCAGTAGTTTAAGAATAAAAAAAGAGAATGACTCATAAAATTATTTCATCAACAATGCATTCACTTAGTAGTATTAAATTGGAATTCAATAATGAGCAGATTCATTTATGAAAGAAATGTTTGAATTACTTTTAGAACATGTAGAGGATACAGCAATAATTAATTTAGACAATTACTAATCCATTCTTATAAACTTAGTGAATTTGATTATATAATGAAATTGAAAAAAAAGACAGCAATATTGTTCTTTTATATATTTTTTTAATGATCAGTTTTATTACTATTGTTGCTTTAAATAATTTTCCAGACAGAAAGTTCCTTTTGCTTTTAATAATGGTCGTAAATCAAAGTTTTAGTAATTAAAGAATTCTCCTTTAAAGATTAATGAGCCTTGTGCTTAAAATATTCCCTATTGAGAAATAAGGAGACTAGTAATGTTTGTAGAGACTAAAAATAATTTATTAAATACCACTTTTTAGGCAAGAATTTTTTTAAATTAAAGCTGAAAAAATATTTTAATTTGAATTTTTGGGTTCAATATATTTCTCAGAATCAACATCCTTTAAACAGATGTTATCATTAATACTACAAGATGCTGATGTAGTTTCATAAAGAGAGAAAAAGTTGACTCCACAACTTTGGAAATCAACCTATGAGAGCTTTTATTATACTGCTTAAACATCCCATAAACGGACTGAAAGATCACTACTACCAGATGCTAATGTAGTGCCATCATTAGAGAAGAATGTTGAGTTGACTCCACCAATATGTCCATCCAATTTGACTTTTTATTTACCTGTCTGAGCATCCCATAAATAAATAGACTTATCTAAACTACCTGATGCTAATGTAGTACCATCTGGAGAAAAGCAAACTGAGAAGACAATATCAGTGTGACCATTCAATTTGAACTTTTATATTCCTGTCTTAGCATCCCATAAACGGACCGAACAATCACTACTACCAGATGCTAATGTAGAACAATCTTGAGAGAAGAATATTGAATTGACTGCGCCAGTATGCCCATTTAATTTGACTTTCTATTATCCTATCTTAACGTCCCACAAACGAATTGAACAATCACCACCGCCTGATGCTAATGTAGAAAAATCAGGAGAAAAGCATATGGAATACACTGGGTCGGTATGACCCTCAAATCTAAAAAATTTTTTTCTTGTTTTAATATTCCATAAGCAAATAGATTTATCACCACTACTTGAAGCTAATGTAGTAAAATCTGGAGAAAAGCATACTGACCAGACAGATTTACTATGACCATTCAATTTAACTTTTTCTTTTCCTGTCTTAACATCCCATAAACGGATTGAACAATCACTACTGCCTGATGCTAATGTAGAGTCATCAGAAGAAATGCATATTGAATTAACTTGATCATTATGACCATCCATTTTGACTTTCATTAATCCTGTCTTAGCATCCCATAACCTGATAGAATTATCCTTACTGCTAGATGCCAATAATTTTCCATCTAGAGAGATGCATACTTAGAAAACCGTTTTAGAATGACCATCCAATTTGGCTTTTTATTATCCTATCTTAAAATCCCATAAACGAATAGATTTATCATTACTCCCAGATGCTAATATAGTATCATCAGGAGAGAAACATATTGAGTTGACTGATTGGCTATGACCATCAAATTTCGCTTTTTATTATCCTGTCCTAACATCCCATAAACGAATAGAGTTATCATCGCTACCTGATGCTAATGTAGTGCCATCATTAGATAAGCATATTGTGTTGACTTATTTACTATGACCATTAAATATAGCTTTTTATTTGCCTGTTTAAACATCCCATAAACGGATAGACCTATCTAAACTACCAGATGCTATTGTAGTACCATCCGAAGAAAAGCAGACTGAGAGGACCCCCTCTGTATGACCCTCCAATTTATCTATTTATAATCCTGCTTTAACATCCCATAAATGGATAAAGTTATCATTACTTCCAGAAGCTAATATAGTACCATCAGGAGAGAAACATACTGAGTTGACTGATTGACTATGAGCATTCAATTTCGCTTTTGGCTATCTTGTCTTAACATCCCATAGATAGATACAGTTATCGTCGCTACCTGATGCTAATGTAGTGCCATCATTAGATAAGCATATTGTGTTGACTTATTTACTATGACCATTAAATATAGCTTTTTATTTACCTGTTTAAACATCCCATAAACGGATAGACTTATCTAAACTACCAGATGCTATTGTAGTACTATCTGGAGAGATGCATACCGAGAAAACACTATTAGAATGACCAACTAACTTAGAACTTAATTATCCTGTCTAAAAATTCCATAAACAAATAGAGTTGTCCAGACTACCAGATGCTAATATAGTACCATCAGCAGAGAAGAATATTGATTAAACGCTTTTGCTATGACTCTCTAATTTATTCAATTCATTAATTTTCAAGTTTTTCCATATACAATTTAAAAGTTAAGCTCCATTTAAATTCACTCCACTAATATCCACATTATTGAATACTGATCCACTCAAATCACATCTGACAAAATTTGCTCCTATTAATGATGTATTTTGGATCTTGATATCTTTAAAACAATGGTTCTTCAGATCAACTTTCATATTTACTAATAAATTTAGTCCATTTGATCCACACTAAATGAATGTTTCGTCAATAGTTGTAAGTTGCACTAAAAATTTTAAAAAATAAATGATCTCCCTATTTCCAGCTATCAATTTGATAAGATTTTATCTCTACTCTTTGTAACTTTCTGAGGAGTAGTCATTTTTATTAAAAGGATGATCCACAATATCTTTCAATAAATTAGAGATTTTCTGAATTTTTTTTTTCACATCACTTACATCCTCTTTCTCATCAATATGCGATTCATAAAGCTTAAGATTAAATGGCTGAGCAAGAAATCCTTAAATATTTGAAATTTTCTCTTTTTTAACTATTTAATAAATCTCTCTCAATATTGACTGATCAATATCTTGTATTTAGGTGAAAATTTCAGAAAGATCTTCTTTTCTAATATAAACTTCACTTTTTTCTTCAAAAGGTTCCAATCTAATTTAAGGTTAAAATTGAATTACCTAATTAATGATTAAATCTTTTTAGTTTCTTTATACTATTTGTTGAAAAAATCATTCATTTCTTATTCCCACTTCTCTAAAATCTTTTATAACTCCATAACCCAAGAAATATTCCAATCATACAAATCTTTTTATGGTGTCTTGTTTATCATTGAAACTAAATTTTCTAAATGGGAATTGGAGAATTCTGCTGGATTCTCATTATCTTGGATAGCGCTAATATATGATGAGGATTTGTTTTCTAATTCAATCATTTGAAAAATTAAATTTATTGATTTTGAGAACTCTTCCTAAATTTACTTAAGTATACACTCATTTTGAGAGAGCACAGATTTAAAAGTCATTCTCTATTTTATTAACTCGGGCATTTCTTCAAGTTTTAATTCATTTAGTTTATTGTTAAACATTTCTCGAAATATTTTTATTGGAATCGTTTATTTCTAATCTACTCCATGTTCATATTAACATTCAACGCACAGCTTTCTTTAACATTTACAAATGTGAGAAGCAATACAAATTAATGCTATATTCTCATTATGAATGGTACATTTCATGTTTTTTTTTTAAATTATTGTATTTCTATTACAATTATATAATTTTTTAGTGATTCAAGAATATTTTATATATAAAATTTATAATAATGACAAAAATTGTGAAAATTTGGGTTGATGAAAAATCTATAAATTTAAAATCTACAGGAATATAAAAAATCACATAATATTGAGAAAATTGTGAATAATTAATAATCTTCATATTAGATTCGAATATTTTTTTGTTCCTGCTCACAATAATTTTTGCCTTAAATTGTTTCAGGTGTTGCCCATTAGCAAGCTTCTTTCAGCAGCAGCATGGATTTGGTCTGGATAAATCTGACTATCTCTTTGTCTAGTCGTGATAAAAATTGACTATCCCTTTGTATACATATAGTTTGGGTTTGCCCACTAGTAAGTTTAATTCAGCAGTCACATTATGTTGAATTCTCTACACATGAGAAAAAAAA